ATAAACTTAAACTATTAAAGAAAAGTAAGAAAATATAAATCAATTATGTTCGAAGATGTTCATATCAAAATATTCAAGTATTCTACAGTTATACTTGCAGCTCGTGTTAATCTTGAATTTTTAAAATGGATCTATTTTGCGTTAAACCAGGGGTGGGAGATTATTTTTAGAGTGGACCAGTTACAGATGATACACTTGGTTACTGGGGCGGAAGCTCAAAGCTTAATATAAAAAATTATGAATAAAAGACAGTTTATTTACAAAAGCTAGTTCAACAGCTAGGCTGACGTTTATATCAGTGGTTCTCAAACTTTTACAGCCGCACCCCCTTTTTTAGAAATTGTCAAGTTTTGCGCCCCACCTCAAAAATAACTAGCTAACAATAAGGATGGAACGTAAATAATGAAATAAATGTAATACCAATTACGTAACAATGGACTCCTAGGATTGGAGTAAACATGCTAACGATTGTATGGAAGGTTCTAGAGTCAGAGGTGGGCAGGGTTTTGGGCCACGGGCTAAATATTTTAAACACCCAGACTGGCGGGCCAAGTAAGTGTGACCTGAAAGTTACATTTTATGAATGATATTTACAGAGTTACAAAAGCAAACATGGCAAACAGTAAGCCTCGTGCCGACACTAAATTTATCCGCAATTTCAACAAATTCCTTGAGTTATTTTTAACAAAAACATCAAAATTTGGTTATAGTTTGGTTGTGGCAGCATCAGGCGGGCCAAATTGAATTACCCAACGGGCCGGATTAGGTCCGCGGGCTATAGTTTGTCCATGTCAGTTCTAGATACTCTGAACTAGCAGCATGAAGTTGAACTCTTAAACATGCCCCACGATAAAGATAAAAAAAAAGATACAAGAAAAACAGACTCTCTGCAATCTCTGAACAATAAAGAAATTTAAATAACCGAAATAAGGCGGACAAGATCAAATCTAACAAATATTTTTGACTATGATTAACTTTATGCCCCCTCAAAGTTGTCTACGCCCCCTTGTGGTACATATAATCACTGGTACATATAATAACAAGAAGCACAATGTAACAATCGGGGACATTATGACGTTATTTTCATCGACATTTTAAACGGAAATTTATGTCCATACCAACTATAATCGTGATATCAGCAGACACTAGTGCGCCGGATGAAAATTTCGGCTGACCGGATTCGGCCCGCGGGCAATAATTTTCCCACCTCTGCGTTAAACGATTTGAGGTTAAATATTGATAAGTTTTGCAAAAATATCGATAAATTCAGATGATTGAAATACGAGACACGGTATAATATAATTTTGAAGTTTCAAATTTTAAAAAAATAATTGAATATGTTTATGGAACTATCATTGGTGAAATATGAATCACCTTTTTAGTGAATTCCACATTTTTTTCCTAATTACTTGAAATAATTTTGACATTAAATGAATATTTGAATAAACAAACAAAGACAGCTGAAAGCAGTTCAATTATATTGGGTGTCCATGAAGTATTCAAAAAACAAAGGAGTTTTTTGATACCATTTATTGTTTTGGCCCTCACAGATGTACTAAATGAAGTAAGAATACTTGAACATTTACTGAATAAAAACAACAAACCTACTTAAGATATATTGAGAACTGACTTCATAACAAATTGAAAATGTGAAGGGACTTTATGGACACCCTGTATTTATCACATATTATGAACAAAAAGGTAAAAATAATGAAATTTCTTGAGCACATCTAAGAAATAGAATAATTCGTAATCAAACTGTAAATTCAGCGGGGAATATTGTTTGCAGTAGATTTATAAATGAACATGGTTGCTAAATCAAAGACTTTTCTTTTTCAGATCGGTGATGTGGCGCATCGTGCTAAGCGTTAGAAATACGCTCGCCACCGCACCTCTGATTACCCCCCTGGGTTCGCAGTTAGAATAATGTGGGGATGAAAATGTGCGAAAGGATTGTTGGAATCCTCGGCACCGCAGGGTGGGTCACGCAACCACTGGTTGATCGGTCACGGCTTTCTCCTAACAAATAACTGGCTAACTAATCCAATACCGACATGGACTGGTAACCGGACGAGAGATCGTGGTTCGCCATATGATTAAGCCGTGTTATCTCTGGTTGCATGAATTCGACTTATAATAAAATTGATACCAAACTAAGGGGTCGGCTTTTTCATGCATAACTTTATCCAAAATAAGGTAGGCAAAATCAAATCTATCAAATATTTTTGACTATGATTAACTTCATGCCCTCTTAAAATTTTCTACGCCCCCTTGTGGTACACATAATCACTGGTACATATAATAACAAGAGAGCTATGCTCAAATATATGGACACGTAAAGTCACATAATTTTGATGACGTCATAGCGAAAAAAGAAGTGATAGCCTTCTGGAGAAAATTTTTATCTTTAACCACTAAAAATTTCAAAGCAATTGGTCCAGTATTCGAAGAGAAAAGCGACTTTTTAAAAACGTGTCAAGCGGTACTGAGTTAGCAGTCAGGCAGCATCTTACCTGTACACTGTAGGCCATATACGGTAATTGATCACAGAACAGTTGTTCCCTTGCAAATTTTATGTTGTTTACACTTTAGGACAGATAATTGATCACAGAACAATTCTTCCCTTACAAATTTTATGTTGTTTCCAGTAGACTCTCATCAAAATAAACAAATATAGTAGGCTACAAGTGCTACAACGCTTGCATTACTGCACTGGTAGGACCGTGAAAGAATAAGTTACGGTAATTTCATTGTGGTAAGACACCGGTACCGGCACCAGTATCGTACTTACGTACTGAGCTACCAGTACCGGTTAGCAGTCAGGCAGCATCTTACCTGTACACTGTAGGCCATATACGGAAATTGATCACAGAACAGTTGTTCCCTTGCAAATTTTATGTTATTTACACTTTAGGACAGATAATTGATCACAGAACAATTCTTCCCTTTCAAATTTTATGTTGTTTCCAGTAGACTCTCATCAAAATAAACAAATATAGTAGGCTACAAGTGCTACAACGCTTGCATTACTGCACTGGTAGGACCGTGAAAGAATAAGTTACGGTAATGTCATTGTGATAAGACACCGGTACCGGCACCAGTACCAGTACCAGTACCAGTATCGTACTTACGTACTGAGCTACCAGTACCGGTACCGAGCCTGTAGGTCTGATATTCCGTTCCGCATACGATAGGCTATAAAACTTACATTGCAGCATTAGTAATACCGCGGAAGGAATAAGTCAATTTCACTGCGTTACGGCACCGGTATGGCAACTTACCAGTACCGACCTACAGTAGCTGTAGTACTGAGCAAGACAATCGATCGCGAAACCGCTTGAAATAAGTGTAAAACAGTGTTCCCATGAGTAAAAATAAATACCGCGAAATTTTGTATGAAATATCATATCTCATAGGATTCATATAAAATTTAAGAATAAACAAAAGTAATAGCCTTCTAGCGAAAAAATTAATCTTCAACCACTGAAAATTTCAAAGCAATTGGTCCAGTATTCGAAGAGAAAAGCGACTTTTTAAAAACGTGTCAAAGAACAAGAACAAGAACAAGAACAAGAACAAGAACAAGAACAAGAACAAGAACAACAACAACATAATATTGAAACGATCGTTATGTCCACTACGTGTCCAATAAGAAGCACAATGTAACAACCGGGATCATTATGACGTTATTTTAATCGATATTTTCACTAAAAATCCATAAAAACTATAGTCGTAATTTCAGCAGATACTAGTGGGCCAAATAAAATACAACTCGGCCCGCGGGCTTTAATCAGCCCGCCCCTGCAGTAAACGATTCAAGGTTAAATATTGATAAGTTTTGCGTAAATATCGATAAATTCATATGTTTGAAATACGAGCCACTATGTAATATAATTTTTTAATTTCAAATTAAGTACTGAATATGCCATGAATTTTTATATATGGAACTATCTCTGGTAAAATATGAATCACTTTTTTAGTGAATTCCATTTTTTTTTTAAATTTCTTGAATTATTTTTGACATAAAATGAATATTTGAATAAACTAAACAAAAACAGCTGAAAGCAATTTGATAATATAGGGTATCCATGAGGTCTTTAAAAAAATTTAAAATTGCAAAGGAAATTTATCGATACCATTTATTGTTTTGGCCCTCACTGATGTATTAAATGAAGTAAGAATAGTTCTACAATTATTGATTAAAAATTAAAAATCAATAAATCTGGTTAAGATATATTGAGAACTGACTTTATAACAAATTGAAATTGTAAAGGGACTTTATGGACACCCTATATTGTTTTGGCCTTCACAGATGTATTGAATGAAGTAAAAATACTTGAACAATTACTGAAGAAAAAACAGCAAACCTGGATAAGATACGCTGATTATTAGGTTTCAACAAAATGTCCAACAAAAAATTGAAAGAAAAATTTGACAGAACCAGAACGAAAAAACAAAAGTCAGCTCAAGAAGGAAACAATTTCAAAAATTCAGACCGAGAATGTAGCAATATGTCCGAATCAAAAAGAAATTGCAATAACTGGATAAGATATATTGAGAAAATATTTCATAACAAATTGAAATTGCAAATGGACTTTATGAACACCCTGTATTTATCAAATACTATAAACAAAAAGGTAAAAATTGTTACAATTTGTAGGGTCGGTTTATATGTGGGATATACAGTGATTTACCTACCCCCCTAACATTCAGGCGTGACATCATACTTCAATTGTAGAAATAAATATATCTGAATATTTTCAGAAAGTGGCTCATATGCCGGTGAAAATGATCAGTCATATTCATGACACATGTTCATAAGTTATAAATAGTTTTATCACTAATTACAAAATATTTACCACTCCCTGAATCCCCCCCCCCCCCCATTCCCTTGAAATAAAATAAAAATAAACATGCTGGGGACTTAGTATTTACACTGAAAATGTTTCTCCATCTTAATTTTTTTATCTGACCGTTTGCTATAACAGTTGGATGAAAGTTTAAACTTCACACAGGACGTATGTTCCATAATCTGGGTGGTTGAGAAAGTATTGATTTAGGCTTGTTGAATCTTCATGAATCCTGATAAACATGTTTGTGAAACGAGAATAACTCTGCCCATTGAGTGGATACCCTGGGTACCATTTGAAAACACTGTGTGATGTCACAGTTCCGTTTTGAAAACGAAGAATCTGATTCTAAAACAAAGACGTGAAACTATATTGAGTGTTTAATTATTAGAATAACTTGATTATATTCAAAAGTTATGGAAGTTAAAAGTTACCGGTATTTTCCGATGCCCGGAGTTTTATGTAATGTATTTGATTTTTATACAATACTATTTTTAATTATATAAATTGTTCGACTTCTTTCTATTCAATCTGTATGAAAGTGAGACTTTTATCACGGGTGTGTCGCCGCTCGATAAGCGAAAAATTTATAACATTATTGAAAGGACTTCAACGCCTTTCAAAAAACCACTGTAAAAAAACTCCGACCATCACGAGCTGAGCCTGGAACACTTCGACAAATTTTCTAGTGAAACTTATTGTGAGGTCAAATACATCACGGAACAATTATTCCATGCCGAGAACCGATCGTATTTTTTACTTCACAATCTGGTTGTTTGGTCACAATTAATTTCAAACAAATTGAGTTATCGTCGTATTTAAACTGCATAGTTGTCTTTTTCTTGTCATTGTTAGAAACTGCTTGTCTGAGGAATTTTGATTTTGGTCAGACGAAACGTTACAGAAATACATTTGTGTTAGTGTGCAGCAGTACTCAGTACTCACGAATAGCATAGTATGATATTTTTTCCTTGCATTATATGCATACGGATCCACTAGCGCAAAGGCATTGAGGAAGGATTGGGAGTTAGTCTCACGTAATCTTTACTGATAGTAATATTAATAAAGCTTTTATATTTAACTCACAATAGGATCGTATGTCATGCCGAGATGGAAGTCTTTAAATGATTGCCCGTCCATCTTGTTGTCACGAATGAATGTCATTATCATGTCCATATGTTTATGATTGTAAATATTTGCAAGTTCACAACCGAGCTGTCGACATTTGACGATCGCTGATGCTTTAGGAACTTGTTCAGATGCCAAAGGAATGAACATTCTTCCGTCATAACGCACAATATCTGTAATTCAAATAATTTGCAATTGTTAAATCATAATAATTGATCTAGGTGGTTATCAAACGCCGATACCGATATTACGAAAGGGCCGATTTTGCCGATACTCCGATACTATATAATTATTACCTCATGTGTGCAGGGCAGACGGTTAAAACAATAGCATTTGGGCATTATTCATATTACACATTATTTCAGATTGAAAAAAAAGAAATATCACATAATAGGAAATTGATGGCTGGGATACAGATGCATTAATTGATTCAGTTGCATTGTGCACTAATGCTAGTAATCTCGGTGTTCAATTAGAAAACTCATGGGCAGGGATGTCCAATTCGAATTTAATATCAATATCGCGGCCTTTGAATATTGTTTTTTGTGTTTGAAGGAATATCGAATATCGCTCACACATTTTAGCGCCGCCGTCCCACGTTTTAATTGAAAAAATTTTACAAATATTTTATTTTGTGTTCAATTGTAATCGTGAGTCGACTAAATGTACCTAACACGTCGAGGAAGTTTTTTATTCTACTATTTTATAATATTTTACAAATATTATCGTATATTTTAGGATAGTCTAGGACTCTAGGCGGACACGTCAATAAATCTATAAGCAAATTGCGTAGTTGAACAAAATTAATGAATTCACAATATTTAATACTTGTGTAGGGGGATAGTTCAGTAGGAATTTATCTTAACGATGTCGATGGACTAAACGACACTCGCGCTTGACGATAAACGGTCCGAATGTATAGTCGCACGATAAAGTGGATGTTCTGTTAAATAAAGACCACGATTCCACTGTATGATTTGAAACTGCGCGCCTAGTTGCTCTTTTTTCTGTGCTGTGTGGATATAAAATTTCATAATTACTATGTATTAAAAATGTCAATAAAAAAATTTGGCAGCGGAAAGAGCCAAATCAGTTGAGCTAGTTTGGCTGATAAATAACTAAAAACAGGCGAATACAATTCTCGTTTCTTCTCGCTGGGATGGGGACATGCATGACTCATAGTTCACGAGCAAGCAAAATATCAGTATTTTAACTTATTTTTTAAAACATTTTGGACCGGAAATATCGGCCGATTACCGATACATGACCGATTCTGGAAAAATGGCCGATATTGTCGATACTGATGCCGATACATCGTTCATCTCTAATCACAACACAAATGGAAAAAAGCAGAATCCTTATAGATTCGATTTCATTATAGCAGGACAGTAGCAGCACATTTTGACTTGGCCATATATAATACCAAACATACCATATATTTTTTAAATTTTGAGCATTATAAATGTAACATTTTTTTTATTGGAGGATTTTGATAAAATTGTTTAAACCTCTAAATTTCGTATTTTGCGGAATACCTGTAAATGCATTTTTCGCTTGTTTGGTATTTTTATAAATACTATTTTATCGTCAAATTCCGTGGTAAATTTATATTTTTATCAGCGTTTATAAATTCTTATATGTTTTATGTAAGTGAACAATATGCGCGTGGAAACTATATTCAATGTGTAAAAATATTCTGGCTGAAATTTCTTCTAGCTTCACAGTGGCCTCTGGATAGGATATGATTTACATATTTATCCCGGGGGAGAGGAAAGCCGATATGGCGAACCACGGCCTCTCGTCCGGTTACCATTTTATGTCGGGTCTGGGATTAGTTGTTCATATATTTTCACAAGCATGGACTTGATGGTGGAGGATCCAGTCGGTGCGGTGGCAAGCATATTTCTAAGCATACTTGGCACGATGAGCCACACCGCCGCGCGGTTTTCGAGGTTTTGTGGTGGATAATGCACACTGTAAATCGCTTTCACGGATAAGCTGATTCCGAGCTTTTGTCTTCACGTGTACCAGGGTGGAAAACTCAATTTTGCATAAAATCAAATCTAACAAATAATTTTATTTGTAAATAGCTTCAAGCCTCCTCAAAAAAATGTCTACACCATTCTTGTGGCGCGCCCCAGCGTTTAACACTTTATGTTTTTACCTTTTATTGTTATAGATACACCCATACGTTGTTACGTCATTATCACAGTTTAAGCATGTGTATATTCGTAACAATTCAATTAATCAGGCTATCGGATAATAGAATTGTTGCGAATGAACACGTGTACATAAAGTGTACAGTTATTTCACTCAACTTCGGCGGGACATTTAAAATCGTTACGCAGGCCGTAATTGGCCCGCGGGCCGTGACTTGGGAACCACTAGTAGTTTAATGCAACAAACCTTGTTCAGTGAATCCAGGAGGCGGAGAAAGTGAAACGGAAGGAGCCGTTGTTGCATCTTCAAACGTGTTTGTGCTTTCTTGCCCTTCTAATTTTTCTATTCTTTCCAGCAATTCATTTATTGTTTCGTTCATTTCTGCTCGTTGCTTTTTCATTGCTTAACACAAATGTTATAAAATCAGAACAATTGTCGGGCCTAGTTCTCTAAACTACTTTTTGTTGGCGTGGCATAATCATTTTTGCATGTGTCATTTCTAACCCCCACCTGATTACGTCATCCAAAAATTGCATCACTCAAAAATCACAGTGACGAAATAACGCCCGTTAAAGTATACGGATTGCCGTCTAAAACGCGCAGACGATCACCCGAAATCGAGCAAGCTATCTCTCTCGTTTTCTCGTCATGACGGTCTCAATATGAGAGAGATCGCTGGCGTTCGCGAGTTTTTTATCGTCGGCGAGATGCCTTTTCGGGCGATCGTAGCTTTACCTTGGCAAGGTCTAAGACGTGATTGTGACTTAATTTTTGGATGACGTAGTCAGGTGGGGGGTTAGGAATACTATATGCAAAAATAATTGTTTCAAACCAACTAGAAGTGCTTACGCTTCATTTAGTGAACATGCGCCTAACTGTCTACTGACAATGAAATCACATACATTTGCGTTTATGTTTTAAAAAAAATCACAAAATACGGTCAAAGAAATAATGTTGGTGGAGGCAACTGAATTGCCACGTAAGTGAATGACGCTTATATGTAGGTAGCAAAGAATCAATTATTAAAGGAAGATTTTAGATCAGTGGTTCGCAATGTTGATTGACCAAAATTAGAAGCGGGAGAACGTTTGCGGGCCGTTTAGACGATGACAGATTTCAAAATGGTAGGGTATGACCTGATATTGGCACAAAAATAGGCGCTCCAGAAGTGTTTGTACCAATATGGAGGTAACTCATTTTGTTCGCTTATTTTACTTCAAGTTGTGTAAAGGGACTGAAACCTATGGGCAGGGGGATATTTACTTGGCTATCACAGGCAGTCCCCGAACTCGTCATATAATTAAAATATGGAAAATTGGAATAAAATTATGACCTAGCCCTAACCCGGTACACACACTACGAAAGTACTAAATAAATGTTGAATAACTCTCGAATGTTCGTAAAAGAAAGAAAAGTTTATCATTTCTTTATTACAAGTTCAAAAGTCAAAAATCCAACTCTGTGGTATGGCGCACCGTCCTAATCGTTAACAATACGCTCGCCATCGCACCTCTGATTACTCTGCGTTGGTTCGCAGGTTCGAAACCCATGCGGGGATAGTTATGTACGAGAGGATTGCTGGACTCCTGGCCGCCGTATGTTTGTTCACCCACCATTAATAATAGTACAATCACGATTTCATTGAAAAATAGCTTGAAGCAGACAAGAGAACTAGGACTGCTAAGTCTATGCTTCCGAAAACAAACAACTGACTAACTAATCCCATACCCGACATGGACTGGTAACCGGACGAGAGGCCGTGGATCGTCATATGATTAAGCCGTCTGATCGGATTTTCTCTCTCCCAGGATAAATATGTAAATCCTATGCTATCCATCTGAAGATTTGACAAACAGTTTTGCATATAGATCTACAATAGCAAATCAAACAATCTTGTAGAATTCACCTCTTTCGACATTTCTATTGATCAAGGCTTCAAGTTCATCATAATTGACTTCTGCTTGTGATCCCTTGAGCCCAGGAAATCCTCTATCGCCTTTCGGGCCTTTTTTGCCCGGAATAGTTTGTACTTCGGCACTAAAAATAAATGTATATATATATTAGTCGTTATTTATTTTCATAAAGTTGTTTCGCACAAAGCGCCGTTTCGCTCATAATTAGAAGATTTAGAACCGGAATCTTTCAGCATTTCTCATTATGGTCGTTTCCTCGACCCTTGACCCCTGAAAAATTATCCCTATATTAAACGATTTTCAAAATTTAAAACGCTTTTATTGAGTTTTTGGAAAGTTAGCGCTTACAAACTGACTCACATGCCGCTTACAGGTACTGATGGCTAATTTTGGCTAGTCTATCGCAGCGTTTATTGTGTCAATTTTTATTTATTGCAACTAAACTAAGGGTCATCGGAAGACATATTGACAATCCAGTTATTCGATTTACGACTATTTTTTGAAAGCACAAGCAAAACCTGACGGACAACACGCAAAACCGGCGTATTTACAACCATGCTTGAATATCCGTCCGAGAGAAAGAAGTGTCTGAGCGACTTCATGAATTGCTATTGTTGCGTTATCGTAGGTTCATTGCTGATTAGTCATTGTTACGACAATAAACAAGAAAATCAATGCTCTGGAAAACATCCAATGAGACTGAACAATATAGTCTCCATAACAGGCGGTTTAAATTGTTATCAGTGAGTCGCTGCTACATCTGATAATTACAAGATTTTTGTAAAATTACCAAAATATTACTTTGCAAAATTTGCCACATACCGATTTTCGCCATATACATCTTCTATACTCTCTAACTGTAGACAAACCCTCTCTTGTCTTCTTCCATTCGTGAGTATGGAAAGTGAGAGAAATAGCACCAAAGTGACTATTGGTGATGTCATAGTTAATAATTATTTAATACGAGAGAATCTGGAAAAACAAAGATTTGTGTCGCCATAATGTTTAATAATTCAACAAAGTATATAAACTTCTGCATTCCCAGATTAGTATTATTAGGCAAGATTATTAATCAAGATTATGCAAGTATAATATCAATGTTTTTTTATTAAATTATTATTTTTTTTAATAAAAATCATCTAGGCCAGAGCTTCCCAAACTTTAAGCTCGCGACTACTGTTGTTATGCAAGTGCGTCGCTTCTATTCCGCCTTATGTACTCTCGCGGAATCGCGAGATTTGTTTTGCACTAGTTGTGTTTCGAATTGGAAGCCTTGAAAAGTACAATAAATATTTTGTGTAAAATTCGTTGCGTGACTTCCTGTGGGGTCGCGACCCCCAGTTTGGAAAACCCTGATCAAGGTCACCACTCTAAATAAATATTTGAAATTCATTTAAGAATAAATATATAATACAATCGCATTGTCGCAAGAGTTTTACTTTCTCCAATATTATATTCTACATCAGTGTTTCTTAAACCATGGGTCACGACCCGAAATTGGGTCGCCAGAAATTTTTCTTGGGTTGCTTGCTTTTTCAATAAATACTAAAAGTTACTAATTTTATTTTATAGTAAATTTTTTACTAATATCATATTTGGTATTGAAGTGTTGCTCAATAGTAATTGCATGTGTATCACTGCGTAAAACCCTAGCAGCATTTATTTTGCTCAAGTGAAGCAACGCGTCGATTTCAAAAACTCGCTTATGACCCCTTGCGGGCAAACCTAGGTAAAGCTAGCGCCATGAATTGATCGCAAATAAAGTGGACAGTTATCGCGAATATACTTAATTGCAACACGATGAATGCGATTAATGAGACGATTTCTTCCTTTTTTAAATCAAAGAAAGACGTGAAACATAATACAACAGAGAATGATTGGAACAATACAACAATACACGGGTTCGAATATAGATAATTTTGAAAATTAAAAAAAAATTAGGAAAATAATCGTAATTCTCGAGCTTTTTCGGTCCAGGGGGCAAAAAAAATGAATTTACCACTAAATAGAGGACTAATATGAGAACTCAACGCAAAAAAAAAAAAATTGGTGCTCACTTGCGATTTTTCGAACTTTTTTGGGTTAGAATATTGGGAATTGTGCAAAAATTGAAAATTTTGTGAAGATAACCGTTTTTTTTAAGCTTCTCCAGTCCCGGGGGCAAAAATGTGAATTTACCACTGAATAGAAGAATATTGTAAGAACTTAAGGCAACTACAAATTTTTGGTGATTACCTGCGATTTTTTAAACTTTTTTGGGTTCGAATATTGGGAATTGTGCAAAAATTGAAAATTTTGGAAAGGTAACCGATTTTTGAATTGGTAATGTCAGTGAATTGTCAATATTCGAACCCAAATAAGTTCGAAAAATCGCAGGTAATCACCAATTTTATTTTTATTTTGCCTAGTTCTCATATTAGTCCTCTATTCATTGTTAAATTAATATTTTTGCCCAATGGACCGGAAAAGTTAAAAAAAATCGAATACCTTACCAACATTTTCAATTTATTCAAAATTGTCAATATATGAACCCAAAAGAATTCAAAAAATTGCAGATAATCATCAAATATTTTTCGGTGCGTTCAATTTTCATATTAGACCTCTATTCATTGGTAAACTCATTCTTTGCCCCCGGGACCGGAAATGTTTAAAAAAAATTGATTATCTTACCAAAATTTTCAAATTTTACCAAATTGTCAATATTCGAACCCAAAAGAGTTGTGAAATAAATATGAGATATTCGAATATTCGATAGATTCGTTTTATTTGTGTTCAAGTGATCATCCATCTATCCACCATCCGTCCAAATTAAAATATAACAAGATTTGGAAATTCTGTTCTTTATTTCACGATACAATGCACACGCTGGTATGACATCCGGTACAAATATTTAAACATTTGGCTGGCATTGCGGCATTGCGGCTGGCATAAAACACATATTAGAATTCAAAGAAATTCCACCGTGCGGAAAGTGGGGTAATTTCCACCCAATTTATCGGAAAAATCGACTTAAACTTTAATTTTTACGACCGTATCCACCAATAGATATATAACAAAACATTATAGCTGAGTTTGCTTACACGACAACTTCGACTGCAGTCTACCAGCTAACAAATACATTATAAATTATAACTCAATTTAACAATTCAGCTTTGCCTATTCTCGTTTTAATTTCATATCAGTCTGGCGCATTCAAATCAAAGCAAGTCTTATATAATTAGCTGACATGAGATGCCGTCTGCGTTAACGAATACTCGACAGGGCAGCGGTTTGCCCTAATTTCATATGTCTACATGTTTACAAACTTCGAACGAAGTAAAATACACATTGACGATAAGAAAAACATCAGTCTGGCGCACTCGTAACAAAGCAAGTCTGATAAAACTACGTGACATGAGATTTCCTCTGATGTAGGCTAAAGAATTCTCGACAGAGCAGCAGTTTGACTTTATTTTGTATGCCTACATGTTTACAAATTTCGAGCGAAGTAAAATACACATTGACGATCAGAAAAACATCAGTTTGGCGAATTCGGAACAAAACAAGGGACCTCCTGAAGTATGCGCACCAAGATGGCGCACAACCTGAACTCAGGTTGTGTACCAGGTTAAGGTTCAGGTTATGCGACATCTTGGTGCGCATACTTCAGGCGTACCAAACAAAGTCTTATAAAACTACGTGACATTAGATTCTTTCTGATGTAACAAATTCTCGACAGAGCAGCGGTTTGACCTTATTTCATATGCCTACATCAGGGGTCTCAAACTCGCGGCCCGCGGGCCAATTGCGGCCCACAAGACGATAGTTTGCGGCCCCCGCCTTGGTATGAAAGTTTAATGTTAGTGCGGCTCGTAAGTCACTCAACTCAGTTAGAATGATTGATGCATTTAAAATATATGATCAGGACACGTAGAGCAAAACAAAATATTTGATAATCTATCCCCCGAAAAGCATATGCGGTACGGTAACCTACTGGTACCGTACCTGTAGGCATGATATTCGATGGACCTTTGACCCCAAAGAAAATTTTCCTATACCATTACCATTGCAAATTCTTGGTGCTCATTTTAGAGGTGGCTTCGCGAGTTTAAGCCTATAAACTGGGGTATATGTTTCACGTCATCATTTTTATTCAAAACATTCAACCTGTTTTTCAACAGTACCGGTAGAGAAGTTTAGCCTAGTCTATCACAGCTATTTCTAGACTTATTTTTGATTACGGCAATTAAGCTACGACGCCCAAGCAATCAGAATGATCATTGAGTTCTTTGATTCATACATGAATTTCTGAAACACAACACAAAACTAACAAATAAATAGCATTCAAAAACAAGGTAATGTTTACAAACATGCCTGAAATTCTTTCTGAGTGACAAGTGTCTGAGCGTTTGCGAAAAAGTCTATTGTTACGTCACTTTTTGCGTCTTGCGGATTAGCCCATGTTACGGAAGTAGATATTCGGGGAAAGGTCCATCGCGGAATGACCCACATTTATGTTTTTGACATGTTTTGCGTATAGAAAAACAGTGAAAAAGATTTACCTTTTTAAGTTTAATGCTTTTATTGTGAAAAACCGGATGCGGCCCGGACTCACTAAGGCTCCATCTCGGCGGCCCCAAGGTAAATTGAGTTTGAGACCCCTGGCCTACATGTTTACAAACTTCGAACAAAGTAAAAAATACACATTGACGAACAGAAAAACATCAGTTTGGCGAATTCGGAACAAAATAAGGGACCTCCTGAAGTATGCGCACCACGATGGCGCAAAACCTGAACTCAGGTTGTGTACCAGGTTAGGGTTCAGGTTATGCGACATCTTGGTGCGCATACTTCAGTAGTACCAAAACAAGTCTTATAAAATTACGTGACCTTAGATTCTTTCTGATTTAACAAATTCTCGTCAGAGCAGCGGTTTGACCTTATTACATATGCCTACATGTTTACAAACTTCGTATGCGACATCTTGGTGCGCATACCAAAACAAGTTTTATAAAACTACGTGACATGAGATTCTTTCTGTGGCAAAACATACTCGACAGATAAGTGGTTTGACCTTATTTCTTATACCTACATGTTCACAAACTTCGTATGCGACATCTTGGTGCGCATACTTCAGGAGTACCAAAACAAGTTTTATAAAACTACGTGACATGAGATTCCTTCTGTGGCAAAACATACTCGACAGATAAGTGGTTTGACCTTATTTCTTATACCTACATGTTCACAAACTTTGAACGCCATAAAATACACTTTGACGATCACAAAATTGAGTTTCATTTAAGGGGGCTCCCGAAGTATGCGTACCAAGTTGGCGGACATCGGAATGTAATATGTGTACTAGGTTAGGGTTAGGCCATAATTTTAGGTATAAATACTACGGGAGACTCTTGGCTAGTCTTCGAACTGATAATAGGACTAAAATAGGGAAACTGGAAAAAAATTATCGCCTAACCCTAACCTGTTACCCATGTTACGTTCCGATGTCCGCCATCTTGGTTCGCATACTTCGGGAGCACCCATTTAAGAGCTTGGAAGCGTGAGTTTGTTTTCGTGCTAACATGGCCCCACACGAACAAAGTGGCTGGGATCCGCTGCGATACTGCGTAACCAGACTACGTTTCCAAAACAACAAGTCGTTTCACCTGCCATGCCGCCGAGGGGGGGGGGGGGGATCGCTGACTCCTTTCTGTGACGTACCTCATACACATAACCTCTGGCAGCTTACAGCTTCCTTAACCAGTTCTTTGTTTCAAAATTTAACTGGACGAGAGACCGCGATACACCTTGGGTGTCGCTGCTCGATAACTAGCTTTGGTAAACTGTAATTTTCCTTTTTTTCTTGTATTTTCTGTGTTCATCCGTTTTTTTTACTGACTGATTGAAAAAAAATTTGACTTTACTCGCCAAGTGATTAAGCCATATTAGCGGCTTACCTAGCCATATACAAGGTGTCCCTAAATAAATGGAACCCATTAATTCGATTATCAATTTTGGGCGCTCCCTTAGTATGTGCATCAAGATGGCGCACAATCTGAACCCTAATCTGGTACACATACAATGTTCAGGTTGTGCGCCAAATTACGGAAGCACCCAATTTTATGGGTTCCATTAAGTTTGAGACACTCTGTGTAGGGTAGGCTATTCATCTTCATGCACCCCCAGAATAGAATAAAAACAGCTTTTTAGCATATCAAGTGATTTCATTAAAAAACATTCATTTTATACAAAATCGAACAAGTTGGCACAACACATGCACAATGAGTTTGATAATTATATGAATACAGAAAACATTGATTCAAAAATATATGAAATAGCTTTCAACCAGAATTGTGGAGCCTAAAATTAACGTTCTTGCAGGTTTTTTTGGCAGTCCCTCTAGGACAGGGTGTGCAACATTTTTTACCACTAGGTCATATACTTCAGACATCTAGCTGGCCTACACTTATTGGCGGGAAGGCAACCTTAGATCAAGAGTGTGCGACATTTTTGTTGGTGGGCAATATCACCAATTTCAGATATTTAGCCCATGTACACAAGGAATTGAAAAAAATGATCACAATAGAAGATTCAACACAGCGACAAGACAAGAGTCGGGTCGGGCTGCGTCACGTTGGCCGCCTGTTGCACACCTTCCAATCCAAGTTTATTTTTTCTGACCAGTAAATCAATTGTACACAAAAGACTAACAAAAAAGTAAGCGCACAGTTCACTAAGAAAATTGAGAATGTTTATACTTTTTCCCCCAACCAGTCCAATCAGATTGTGATAAAATGAATGAACACATTTTACTGGTGACGGGAAGCTGCAGGGAGATGATTATAGGCCATGGTTTCAATATCTAATTCAGCGGTTCCCAACCAAGGGCCTCCAAAGGGGTTGCAGAGCAGTTGGAGAGGGCCACAGTGCTAGGCGAAATACTGATTTTAATTTCACTTTACAAAAAATTACACGTTTACGTGGTTTCATTATATGATAAGGTTATTTCACAGGGTATTTTCACTTTGTTGAGCATGAATTGTTTGAACATAATGGGATATGTAAAATACAAATCATGATAACACTATAAATACCACTGAAATGATAAACAGGGAGCTATGAGTGCTCAAGTTATCCAGAAAAGGGCAATAAGCGGTTTGGAATGATTAATCTAATTGAAAGTCAATAACATTTAAGTTACAAGAGATTTTTAAACTATGTATTGAATGCGGCCAGGCTTTCAAAATTTTTGTGTTGTATTATCTTTATTAAACAGTCATTAATTTAAAATTTCACTAAAGGTTAAAGATCAGATTAATTTCGACAGCATTATCACAGGACGAAAATGCTTTGAACCCACAGCACTGGTTTTATTAACACTTGTACAAATAAATGAAATAACTATAATATTATTATAAAGATTTGTGTTCTATAGAGCTTGAAGGGTTAATGTATGGGTGTGATTCTCCAGCTGTTAGGCAGGAGTCTGGATTCATGTTGGGGTCACAAGCACGAGGAAGGGGGGTTATAAAGCGCATGATAGATTTTTGAGAAACGAAAATATTTGAAGTGTGCCTTATATAAAAAAAAGGTGCTCCTGAAGTATGCGAACCAGGATGGCGGACATCGAAACGTAGCATGGGTAACAGGTTAGGCCCTGATTTTATTCCAATTTCCCTTATTTTAGTCCTACTATGAGTTCGAAGACTAGCCAAGTGCCTATCGTAGTATTTGTACCTAAAATTATGGCCTAACCCTAACCTAGTACACATATTACATTCCGATGTCCGCCATCTTGGTTCGCATACTTCAGGAGCCCCGAAAAAAATAAGGTAGTAATTTGCTTCAATACCACAATAAATTTCTGCAAAAAAACAATAATTCCAAAATATTGGCATATTTAAATGTAATTTACAAAAGCTTCATGGACGGTTGGTTGACTGCAATTTTTGTGTAATAAAAATGACAGAAAAAACTTCAAATACGGCATCCGCAATCCAAATATCCAAACACAAAAATTCAAATGCAGGATGCCGATTTTAGTAGAAAATTGTAACAATCATTGGGGTCTCATGTAGTTTCGTACCCCAATAACTTCTTGTGGGAATGGTGCAGGTGGGGTTAGGAATAACATATGCAAAAATGCCGGTTGTAGTAAAAAAAGATTTATAAATAACCGTTCCGAGTATTTTACTTACATAAGATTGATAAAACAGGCTACCATTTAATTTCTGAAAACTGTGGTTAAAATTGCCATCATTCATTTATTTTTCCTTTTCTGCGTTATTTATATGAGTTTACGACTTAATACAGAGTATTCAATATTCCAGATTTAAAAACATATTTCTGAGTGTTTTACTGTCTTCGCCGTAAAGGTTACAAATGGAGAAATAATTTCAACAAGTTCAAAAATAACATTGAAAAAGATTATTAAAATAGAAAAAAAATGAAATACTAGCTTATCAACGTATAAAATGTTATACAGATAACCGTGCAATACTGGAAAATGATACATATATTGTTACCATGTCACATTAGAAAAATAATTTAATGACCTTGTGTAGTACCATTTGTATTACAGCACCAAATAATAAAAGAGCATCGTCCAAAAGCAAGTACCTTTGTTTATTTAAGAAGGTTTGATAGGCTTTCCTCTCCTCCCGAACAAGATTATATAATGTCAACATGATTTTTGTATAAAAATATACTTTTACCTTACTATCTGTTATTTGTAGCTTATTGTTAGCTAGTTATTTTCGAGGGGGCGTGAGACTTGACAAACAAAAAGGGGGCGTGGCTTAAAAAGTTTTAGAACCATCGAGATAGTGGGTCCGGCCTTATATAATAAACCTCGACAAATTTTACCATTTGCCATGATTTTGCTCAAAAACAGGCTCCTATACTCGTGAGAGAGGAAAGTTGATAAGACAGTACAATCAAATTGCAAACTATAGCATATTCTGTGGATGACCTTAAAAGGGAGGAGTCTTTAGGGTCTAAAAAGCGTTTCAATCTACATCGAGTGATGAGAGATTAGACAGAAATTTTCAAGTTAGACTGTAACAGCTAGCACGTCCAACCAAGTCTTGTGGTTTAAAAAGGGTTTCGAACTAAGAAAAGTGCTTTTTTACCTTTCCAAAATGGGGAAGACGAGACAATCCTATAAACCTCTGTATACACCCCTGCAATGAGAGTGATGATGGGCAAAAGGTATAAACCCTAGATATGTAATCTGTGATGCCAATACGGCCATGTTTTACGTTTTAACAGCTAGGTCATCTTATAGCGTTTCCTCTTCTTTAGAGAATTCGATCAGTGATAAGAAGATAAGATTTTTGATAAAATGCAACTTAGGCTTCGTGTAGCATACTAAGCAAATTATTCCTACATGGCAAAAAAGAGGGTGCACCTTGAATTGTATGCTGCTATGCTATTTGCAAAAATAATTTGATGGTGAAAAAGTGAGAGGTAGAAGAATACTGTTCAATATTTCATGATGCTGTAAAAAATTATTTTATGTTTGTTCAGAAAAAGGTTCCAGACAAGAAAACAACACATTGAGGAATCACGAAATTAAGCAAACGATTTTTATTACTTTAAAAGCAGTGGTTCCCAAACTGCAGCCCAATTACAGACCGTGTAACGATTAATCCGTCCCGCAAAACTTGAAAGTGAAAATCACAGTTTGAGCACTTGTATATTCATAACATTTTAATTATACAGATATTGGCCCATTGTGGGCGCTTGCGCATCCCTTTCCTGGCCTGTAAACATCCTTTTGGTTATAATTTTGGCCCCCAGGGAATCACTGACTTGGAGCCATTCTAAGTTAAGATTTTCAAAAGAGCATACATGATGAAAGCAGAGCAAAAAAAGATATAATAAGTATAAAAAGTAATACAACACCAAATAATGACTTAAAAATACAAAAATCACACAAGTATGAAATAAAGATACAAAAATTTGGTCACATTTGTAATATTTGATAAATTGCTTCTAGTTTGTTATTTCGCTACTCCCATAGTGTGTGTACCAGATCAGCCATAATTTTATTCCATTTTTCCTTATTTTAGTTCTATTACGAGTATGGGGACTGTCTGTGTTAGCCAAGTGAGTATACCCCCTGCCCATATGTTTCAGTCCCTTCACACAATTTGATGTAAAATAGACGAACAAAATTAGTTACCTCCATATTGGTACACACACTTCAGGAGCGCCATTATTTCTATGCAAAACATCAACATTTGTGTATTATGTGGGGTGTCCTATGCGCTATACGAAAATCTTTTTGATGTCGGGGACAATGTTCCCGTCACAGGAATCATCTACTCGACAAGAGTTGCACTCGAATCACGATTTATCAAAGATATAAAGTCACTCAAGCGATCTAAATTAAATAATTCAGACTCTGACTTAACTTACTGGGAGGTGGTTCTCTAAAAGATGTCGTTAACACTTGGCAGCCACCTAGTGCATAAACGTTTATAAACCCTTTACTGCCACCTAGTGCATTTTTAAAATTAGGTCAGCATTTACCATCTGGGAAGAAACTCATTTCCACGGACGAATTTATAATTTTTTGGGATGGGAGGGAGATTTCATTCTGTATTTTCGTACAGTAAGACTGATATTGTTCGGTTATTAGTAATATAAGGTGTCCATGAAATATTTTTATATTTTTTAAAATCGCAAAGAGAATTTATCGATATCATATATTGTTTTGGCCCTCACAGATGTATTAAATGAAGTAAAAATACTTGAACAATTACTGATTAAAAAGCAACAAACTTGGTTGAGATATATTGAGAACTGACTTCATAACAAAATTGTAAAGGGACTTTATAGACACGCTGTATGTCGGTATGCACACATCATGAACTATTCATACTATGCAAAAACCAAAGTGCGAGTTGAGCGTAACACTAGGTAACTATCGATTAAATAATGAACAATGAATAGCAACTGAGTTAAGCAACCGCATAGTGAGGGAATAAGGGTTTCAAAATATGCAGAGTGAGGCTATTATCGAAAAGTTGGCATAGCGATGGAGGAATAAAGTGCCAAAACTATCAATGAGTGGGAATTACCCAAAAAGGTTAAATCACTGAATTAAGCTATAATATTGGGTCTTCAGGAGAAGGTATATCTGTAGTGCGAGTGTCGTCAGTTATATCGACTAATGTCGCTTCTTCCTCGCTTCCTGATTCGTCAGCAAGCTCGTCATGGTCTAGAAGTTGCGTCTTTTCACTAGTTTGATGTCCGTTAGCTGTCCGTGTAAACAAACGATCGTATAAAGGATTGTGGAAATTCGTCTAAAAAGAGATGAAATACATTCAAATCTTTAGGAGTTATGACCGAACATTGTAAAGTGCACAGAGTCTTATCGATTTCCAGAATATATGTCCCCTCTCAAATCTCATAACACATGACCTGTTTCAAACAAGGCTAGATAAAATCAGTCACTGAAATCTGATAATATATTAAATAATCTCTCTACAGACTCCAAGGTATACAAGCGAGCATTTTCATCTATCTAGTTAATCTGGTAAAGGAATATTGATAGTAACCCAGGAAAAGTCAGTTTCCAGTAAATTGTTCAAGAATGAGCAAAATGGTGTTAGAAAGGTGTAAGAATTTATACTCCAAATGCCACAAAATAACACTAAAAATAAATTAAATTTTTTTATTGGGGGTTTGGGGGGGGATGCGTCGCCCTTAAGTATGCATATGCTCTTGTATCTGAGTGAGTGTGCATAATCATCTTCTGCGTGAATTCCCTTTAAATAGAGACTGTACCTTTTCTGATTCATCTAGATCACTAGTGTCAGTAGAGAGCATTCCTTTTGCTTCGCCGTTAGATGTTGGTTCGCTTGCGTCATCGTCATCAATGTCGAGTCGTTCTGGTAATATAGCGCCATCTGGTTGCAGTTCAACGTACAGCGGATTGTTGACAGAACGATTATCCATTCGTTTGTGACGGAATCTGTCGATGTAAGAGAGAATGATGTCAAGGATTAACATACATTACAGGAGAGACCAATAAGATGGCTAATCATATCTAGTAATTTTGGAAGGCTTCACACTCACCCTAACTCATAGACTCTGTGATTAGTCACCTATGAGGGAGTCTAACATTAAATCATACTGATGAAAAAAGTCGAACATAAAATACTAACAAAAGCCGGAATTTAAAATACATTCAAGCGACCCGATATCACAGTGTCGCTTTTGTTAATGAAAAAAAAGACTCTTGAGACGGCAGGCGGGGTAACCATGGCAACCATTCATAGAATATCAACCGGAGGAGTAGTTATTCCATGGCTGTGGTACGATTTTCCAATAATAATTTACCACCATGATCCACATGTGAAAACTTTGTGAACAAAAACCAAAACCTACCCTCCATTACTCTTTATTCGTCTCACAATGAATGCAACAATGATTATTATGACAAACAATAGTATTATTCCACCAACAATGCCCCCAATCATTCTCTGATTCACTGGAGTGGATGACGGGTTTGTTGGCGTTGTTGTCCACCCGGGAGGTAGCTGTAAAAAGTAGAATATATAATTGAGCAATGTAAGCAATGCTTTGTCAAACTAAGGGTTAATTCAACAGGGCAGGATTAACTTGTTAGGATAGGATATACATATTTATCCCGAGAGAGAGGAAATCTGATAAGAAGGATTAATAATATGCCAAACCAAACTTGTCTGGTTGCTAGTCCATTTCGGATATGAGATTAGCTAGTGTTCTGCAATCAATACTTGCCAAGTTAGACTGTAACTGAATGCTGGTCCGACCGGAGACTAGAAAACATAGGCTTTCAAAAGTCTTGAGTCTAAAAAGCGTTTCACGGTCCGAAAAATTGCTATTTATGATGCAGAAAAGTGCTTTTATTTTATTTCAAAAAGGGGGTTCCGACTCGCAACAACCCCCTCTTGGGTACACCCTCACCAAGAGTCTTTCAGATCATGAAAGTTTAGGAAACGTTGTTCGGGTGCACATGAGCACAATTGGTGATACTGTTTTAAATTCAAGAAATTCTAGAATGATTAATAACGGATTTTGAACTTACGTCATTTGGAATGCAATTCTTCTTTCCTGTCTTCAAATTAAATGTACAAATAAATCCTGGACCGCATTTACATTCATCCATGCAGAAATATTCAGTGTTCCTATTGTTTATACAAAATTGTTTAGAGGAACACTGTTTGCATGTTTCGGTAACTTTACCCTTCTTTGCAGCATAGAGTTCCTTAGGAATAGGATTTATCATGGCTAACTTGGGTATCAAGTTTGAAGAATGCTCAATCCATGTTATTTTCTCAATATCTCGAAGTTTAATGTTCATATAGCTATGTTTCCCTTCGATTGAAACAAGATGTGCTAATTTATGCAAGCGGAACACTTTATTTGTCCGCATGGTTGTCCCGAAAATCCAATCTCCACAAATTGTAATCTTATAAGGTCGATCAGTGCCGAAGTCATGCACAAGAATTCTATTGTAACCCCTGTCATCAACACTTTCTATGACGTTGCGTTTTGCGTCTGCCCAGTAAAGTCGTCGGGTAATATAATCCACTGCAATTCCCGACGGGTATTCTAAATTTTGGCTGATCTGCATATTGTAGCTATAAGGACCTGGGATGACAGTTCGTTTTGTTCTGTGAAGGGAACTTTTAAACATTTCTGGTCCAGCAGTGTGATAACGCAGAATCCTTGCTCGGTGTCCAATGTCAGAAACATAGATGTAACCTGTATAAGTGATAATAAATTTTGTGTGGTCTGAAATGCAGGGGTGTGCAACATTTTTGTCGGTTGGTTATTGAAAAACTAAATTTCACATGTACACACAAGTTAAAAAATTAGCAAAAACCAGAGCACCGCAGGTAAGAAAGAGAACAGAGGCCATCTTCAGACATCCGATCGTGTCTCTCATGCATTTGAAACAACGATGATTAATAATTTTTTTTTAATAATAATTTTCTTAATTTTTTATGGGTGGTGTCAATAAGGGTAGCAAATTTGTGGGAGACATCGGGATAAGTTTAGTTTATTTAATTTGCAAAAATACAGCGCGGGCCACTTGAAACTCTTCTGCAGTTTTCCGAGGTTCCAGTTTCTATTACTGGGCAGAATAATCCAGCATATCACAATGCTGCCAAGTCATGCTTCACTGGTCAAATTCAATTAACCTCATAATTTACCTCCTATATCGCCAAGAGCAACAAGTGGTTTCAGTTCCTATTACTAGCCAGAATAATCTAATACAATCTAGCAAAAGGCAATGCTGTCAAGTCATGCTTTGGTGATTTACCTCCTAAATGATCCAGAGCAATATCAGCCGGATAAAACAGCCCGGTTCCGTAATAATCTTGCTTATCATTATCGTACAACTCCAAGATTGGTTTATCCAAGTCTGTTGTTGAAGCTACTTTGATTTCTCCTTTACGATCGACCCAAAACACGTTCGATGTGAACCAATCTACAGCAATACCAGCGACCTCAGATGCTCCCATGTCTAAAATCTGGCAAAAAATTCACAAAATAAAATAATTTATTCAGAATAAACGACTTTTTTAATATTATAGTATTTACTAATTGAAAATTTCGTGAAAACAGGTATTGAAGTCATGAAAAGGTAAGAAATAATAATGGAAACACAATCAATTATAACCTACCTTTTGTGGTTGATTTTCCCCATTCCACTTATACAATGAACGAGTCTTTTTATCAGTCCAGAAGACATTGGTACCATCAGTTGAAATGCTGTGACAAATTAAAACACATAGTCGTAATCACTACAAAGAGTCAAACTTGCAAGTAATAACATTCTGTTGCATGAATTTTTATATTAAAGCAAGGGTACTCCCGTAGTATGTGAACCAAGATGGCAGACACTGGAACATAGTATGTGTACCAGGTTAGGGTTAGGCCATAATTTCAGGTACAAATACTACTGGAGTCACATGGCTAGTCCCCGAACTCGTAATAGAACTAAAATAAGAAAAATGGAATAAAATTATGGCCTGACCCTAACCTGGTACATCTACTACGTGCCGGTGTCCGCCATTTCGATCCACATACTTCGGGAGTACCAAAGAAATATTTACGAAGTGTATAAGAACACAAACCTTTCTATTCTCATTACAGTTGTGCTTAATAACTTCAATGGACCGGTTTTCACTCCGTAACCAACTTCCGTGAATTCTTGCATTCTCACAGAACTTCCTCCAGTTGCTACAATTAATACTGGCAACTTGTCTGACGATTTTGGCCGACATTCATTAGGTGTCTAGAAATAAATAAAGGTATTATGGTTTTATATGTGGTGTTCTCACGAACAATTTTTGAATGTGCAGCCTGCGTCCAGTGGGCCAGATGCGAAAACAGCTCTTAGAATGTCAGAGTATCATGCAACTCCTAATTAATGTTCTTCCAAATTTTGAAGGACTCCTGAGACATTGTCTAAAGCAAACTTCAACTGAAAAGTTTTCAGCGCTCCAGAAGTGTGTGTATCAATATAGAAGTAACTAATTTTGTTCGCCTACTTCACATAATAAAGTAGTGTAAAGGAACTGAAACCTATGAGCAGGGGATATATTCACTTGGCTAACACAGACAGTCCCCGAACTCGTAATAGAACTAAAATAAGGAAAATCGGAATAAAATTATGGCCCAACTCTAACCTGGTACACACACTACGGGAACACCAAACTGTTTCGACTACTCACCCGTCTTGTGTATTCTTTCTCACAAGTGCAATGATACGAGCCCGGTGTATTGAAGCATCTTTGCGAGCAGGGAGAGAATAAGTTACACTCGTTTATGTCGATGCATTTCATGTAACCCAGTCGGTTCCGAGACGCTGGAGTGTAGCCTGGTTTGCAGAGACATATTGATTTGAAAGCCCCAGTAGCCGGGATGCCTGTTAATGTATGGCATTGTCCGCCTTGTCGAGTGTTGCAGAAGCCATCAGACGTTGAGCAGCTGACTGAAAAAAAAGAGATTTATTGATTCAAAAATTGTCAGTGTGATCGCCCAGTGGAGTACAGAAGACCTATAATTGCGGCTACCATCTATGGCTGGGCATTTCGGATCAAATCAAACAGTGAATATTCGAATCGGTTTAGATGAAAATTTCGAATCACCGCCATCTTGTTTTTTTCTCTCTGCCATAGGCTGATGTGAAAATTCTACAATTTTTTTTAATGAAGCCATATTTGTAATATGGCTGTTTTCGTCCTAGTAAGTTATTCATAAAACATGTTTTTTTTTATTGTTGTGTGTGAACAACAGGTGAATTGCACGAGTGTTGGATTTTATGTTTTCTGTATTTCACATGCTGCGAGGACCCATTAAACAAAAAGTCACATACAATTACATATCTTTGCAAGATTCGATTTTTAAAAATATTCAATACAATTTGAAAGATATTTGAATATTCCCTGCCCTCTCAATATACCTTTACCATTAAGACCATGCTTCTGGCACAAATAACTATTTCACTAATCCCATACCCGACATGGACTGGTAACTGGACGAGAGGCCGCGGTTCGGCATATGATTAAGCCGTCTTATTGATTTTCCTCTCCTCGGGATAACAATGTAAATCCTATCTTACCTTTTCTGCATGTATATTCATCACTGCCATCAGTGCAATGGTATCCGCCATCACAAACATGATAAGACTTGATGCATTGTCCGTTACTGCAAGGAAAACCGTATTCGTAGATTTTATCTCGAGTGCCATTCATGATACAATGAGTTGAGTTAATCTTATTGTCTGAAAAGAAAGTTGAGAAGACTCTTAAACATGACATTTATACTTATTTATCCAATTAAAAATAGGCGGCTGCTACTTGGGAAACATCTTTTCAACTATTCAACTAGAATTCGGTTGGAAACCGAAGACTAATCGACCGAAGGTTAGGGGATCCCCCAAAACAGTGGTCTTACTCCATAGTGACACCGTGTGTCCCATCACTAATTAATTAATAACTCGCTAATTATACGACATAATCCATCTAAAATCAATAGGCTTCTGTTCCGAACTGTATATACAGTGTCCATAAAGTCTCTTTACAATTTCAGTTTTTTTATGAAGTCAGTTCTCAATATATCTTAACCTGGTTTGTTATTTTTTAATCAGTAATTGTTCAAGTATTTTTACTTCATTTAATACATCTGTGAGGACCAAAACAATATATGATATCGATAAATTCTCTTTGCAATATAAAATTTTTTTAGGACTTTATGGACACCATATATCAGGGGTGGGCAAGGTGTTTAGACTAGGGGCCAAAAATTTTGCCCATCTAGACTGGTGGGCCATGTAAGTGTGACATAAGAGTTACATTTTATGAACGATTTTTATACAGTGTTACAAAAGCAAAAGTGGAAAACGATAGGCCTCGTGCCAAAACTGAATTTATTCACAATTTCAACAATTCATTGAACTATTTTTTAACTAAAAAACATCTAAATTTGGTTTCGGTTCGGTTATGACAGCAGCGGGTGGGCCATATTGAATTGCCCAACGGGCCGGATATGGTTCACAATGGCTGTAGTTTGCCCATGTCAGCCTTATAATATACAAATTAGACTTATTTCTTACCTTTCAAATTTGTTGGGCAGTCTATCTCATCTTCTGATAGTTCCCCATCTTGAGTCTGGTAACAGTCGTTTCGACCATCACACGTTTTTGAAGGTGGCAAACAGACGGGGTGCATACTACATCTGAGAAAAGATACGAGAGAGATACAGGGATGACACAAAAAATTATTACTTACAATAAAAGGACGAGTCCCAAAACTTTATTTTCTTATACACCGCTGTGGTAACTTAGAAAGTAATATTGACCCACAAATTTTTTTAAATGGTCACCAAGAAAGGCCCCCTGAAACGATTTAACAGAACGATTTAAAAGTGTCTGAACTTCTTACTTTATTGGTCTCTGTGGTGGGCAGTGCAACCCGATACATTCAGGTCCTTCATCACTGCTGTCTGGGCAGTCGATGTCTCCGTCACATTTCCAATTAGAAGGAATACAAGCCCCATCGTGACAACGAAACATGAACTCGGGACACACAGGAGCTGTTTGTAAAAGAAATGTATGGTTAATTTCTAAGAGGCGTTACATGGGCATGATTGCCTAGTGCAGTAGTGGTAAAAGCATTGGAATGGACCTTTCCCCAAGCATGGACTTCCTTGTTTACTCCATGACATTGGCCAATCAGCAAGATGCAAAAAGTGACGTAATAATGCTCCGCTTTCGCATCCGCTCCTACACTTTTCTCACTCAGACAGATTTTCAGGCGTGGTCGTAAACATTACCTCGTTTTCGCGTTTTTGAACTCTATTCGTTAGTTTTCAGTTGTGTTTCGGAAATTTAAATATAAATCAGATAATTCAAAAATTCTTAGGAGTTTTAATTGGATTGCAGTAATAAAAAATTAGTGTAAAAATAGCTGTGATAGACTAGGCTAAAAAAATTTACCAGTACTTTTATAAAACAGATTGTTATATGCGATGAATCATAATGATGGTTTGAACAAATACCAATTTTACAGGCGCCAACTCGCAAAACCACTCCTAAAATTAACCCCGAACATTTTGCAATGGTAAAGTATAGGAAGAATTTTTCAGGGGTTAAAGGTCGGGGAAAGATCCATTACCTATATTTGCATCTGTAGTCCAACATTTTTGTATTAGGATTTGATTTACATATTTAACCTGGAAAAGAGGAAAGCCGATAAGACGGCTTAATCATTTGGAAAACCACGATCTCTCGTTCGGTTTCAGTCGGGTCTTATTTGTTTTCAGGTGCAACGGCTTGATGGTGGAGGAAACGTAACCGACCAGTGATTACATGAACCACACTGCGGCAGCGAGTAGTCAAGCAATCCTCTCACATATAATTATCCCCCCATGGGATTCGAACCTGCGAGCCCACGCAGGGTAATCAGAGGTGAGGTGGCGGTACATTATTAACGCTTAGCACGATGCACTGAACCCCCAGGTCAATTTCTAAGTCACCAAATTTTTAATGAGTTGATTCTGTTATTTCTGAAACTATTTACGTTGAACATTAAATTTATTCCTACACTTACTTTTCACATCACATCCTTCCTCATCTGTCCCGTTTATGCAATCCGCCTCCCCGTCACACTTGAACGCATCTGGATGGCAAACAGCGTAACCGTAACCTTCGATTACTGGACATCTGAATAAAATTTTAATTTATCAAATATGTAATTTGGAATAAATATTGTACATGTGTATGTATGTGTAAAATATTGCCGCTTCAGAAGTATGTGTACCAATATGGAGGTAACTAATTTTGTTCGGCTACTTTACATCAATTAGTATAAAAAGAATGAAACCTACGGGCAGGGGGTATATTCACTTGGCTAACACAGACAGTCCCGAACTCGTAAAAGAACTAAAATAAGGAAAATTGGAATAAAATTATGGCCTAACCCTAATCTGGTACACATTCTCTGTGAGTACCCAATTTTGGAAGGCTTTTTCCCAGTTCAGCATAGCCAACCCAATTTATCCCTGTGTGAGAGATTTATTTACTCATCGATCTCAATCGGTAAGTATGTTGATAGGTATTTGTCTGTTTGTTACTTATCGATTTTAATAGGTAAGTATGTTGATACGTATTTGTCTGTTTGTCTGTTAGATGCACGCGATATCTCCTGAAAGCGAGGTTGAATCTGCTCCAAATTTTGCATGTGCATTCATCATATCTCGGACCAGAAGCTTATTGATTTTGAATGAATTATGTCGTATAATTAGCGAGTTATTGATTAATTAGTGGTGGGACAGATGGTGTCGCTATTGGGTCAAAGTGAAGGAATCAAAACCGTAGTTTCTGTTTTGGGGATCCCCTAACTTTCGTCGCTGCAAACGATTGATAAGTCGGCAGTCTCTGATCGCTATCTAGTTTGAATTTTGATCAATTTTTTGTGTTTATAATTCACATCAATTTATCGTTTTGAAATAATCACAAAAACCCTATTTTTCTCTCTTACTTGAAAGTCCCCTCTTTGCAAGTCACGTTTCCTCCTGCGCCTCCTTCTTTACAATTCTTTTCATCTGATGCATCAGAGCAATCCACGTCCCCATCACAGACGTACCAACCCCGAATGCATTTTTCATCTCCGCATCGAAACTCACTCTCACTGCAGTTACGTGGCTCTATGAAATATAATTGTAAACAAATTGAGTTATTGTAATTCTTAAGATGACCGGCCATATGTGGGCCGCAAGAAACCAAGATGGCGGACAATGGAATGTACTATGTGTACCAGGTTAGGGTTAGGCCATAATTTTATTCCAATATTATTTTAGTTCTATTACGAGTTCGAGGACTAGACAAGTGACTCCCGTAGTATTAGTACCTGAAATTATGGTCTAACCCTAACCTGGTACACATACCATGTGCAGGTGTTCGTCATCTTGGTTCACATACTACAGGAGTACCAAAAATTTATACGTCAGCATAACCACCTCTTAAAAAAACTAAAGTCCACGCCAACCTATAAAGCGTAAAGCATGAATGGTTAAAGTAAGTAACCCAACTCTTGAGTAAAAAAAAAAAGTCTGCAAAAAACCTATGAAATGTAGAGCAAGTTGTAAAAGCCTGCAAATCTTGTAAAAGCCGACTACTTACTGCATCCATCCTCATCTGAGTTGTCACCACAGTCATTCTCGTAATCACATTTCCACCATGTTGGTATGCAATGGCTGTTATTGCATCTGAATTCCAACTTGTCACATTCTTTCTTGCCTGCGATAGTCAAGCAAAATATTAAGTGATAATTTGGTGTGGTGGTTGCTATGTTTTACTTCTTGTTTGGTATTTATATAACACGACACCCCTCCTTAAAGTAGACCAGTCAAAAAAAAAATCAAAAATGGTACTTGAAACTCTTTGTTCTTGATTATCTGTACGTATTTCCCTGTTAATCTTATTTTTGACATGACACTCATGCATGTGACACGCATCTAAATAGCGAATTGGACGCCGATCGCAGATGAATGTCTGACAATCATTGAGTATTTAATAATTTGAATAAATGTATAGTTTGAACAACAACCAATATTTTTATCACCAAGTTTAATGGCTAGTTTTGGCCATCCCCGGTATCAATACTGCAATCATGCAATGTCCCCGATTTCAACTATTTGCTTAACAGAACCAATATTTTCATTTTAGCCGGCATAATAACAGAAATCCTAATCCTCTGCATTTCAACAGGGGGTGACAACCTTTCATACAAGATGGCCAGATACAAATAACTGAGTGAAAGCGTGGGCCCCACCTTTATTTAACATAGGTTTTCTAGTAGTTGCAAGTAGGGCTGGGCATTTTCGAATACCTTGTGATTTCAGAATCGAATCGAATATTTTTTTTTAATCGAATCTTGAATATTTCGGTGATATATAGTTGTATGTAACTTTCTTATTGTACTGGGTCCTCCAGACACATAAATTACTGGAAACACAGAATATATATCACTCAGGCAGATTGCTATGCGTTCACACATAAGAAAAATCACGCTTTGGTCAACAACTCACTACAGAAAAGAGTTATATGACGAAATTGCGTTGAAAAAATATGACTCCAATAAAAAAAAATTGAGAAATTTACCTCGGCCATTGGCGGAAAAAACAAAAACAAGATGGCCGCAATTCGAAATTTTGCTCTGAACCGATTCCAATAATTGACTATTCGATTCGAAAAGCCTAGCCCTAGTTGCAAATTTTGGTTATTGATCATGCGTTGTTTGCTCAAGCTAGCTGTTAAGGCATTGTAAAGTCATAGATAATAAATTAGACTCGGGTATGGGCTTCACAATGTAAAGAGTTGGAATTAGTTGCATGTACTAAATTAAATTGAAATTATCACTTCTCCGTGGGCTGCGAAACTTTTTTTTGAGGGCCGCATTCGGCTCGTGGGCCGCAGGTTGCGCACTCTTGCTTCACACAACTTACCACACGTTTCTGGATCTTCATCTGATCCATCTCTGCAATCTTTGTCCCTGTCACACTTCCAGGTCGCAACGATACATTGACCTGATGGTCCTTTGCATTTGAATTCATTTTCCTGTTAATATACCACAAAGGGGTGATTACCACGATTTCTCCTGTAAATTGTCTCAATTATGCGGCAGGTTAGATTTGAGGTCAGGGGCGTAACCATGGTGGGTTGGTTTCATTCGCTAATGCAAGAATGAAAATTAAAAGCTCGACACTCTCTGTCAACTTTACGTTTTTTGGGATGTTCCATGGTTAATAAAACTTAATATGAAATCTAAATTCTATTTATATTTAAAATCTATGTTCTCTGCTTTGACCTTGTGTTATTTGTTTAACAAGTGTGCTAACGCAATTGTTTGTTCACTAAGGCAATTGTTTGTTCACTAAGGCAATTGTTTATTTCACCAGCTCGAACTGACAATGCGGTGAGAGTAGAAAGAACGGCAACTTTCACGGATGATGCGTCGGACCACATTACAAAGTTAGACTCTTGAAAACCCATGTTTTACGAACTTCGACCCGTCTGGCTAGCTTTTATCGTCTATCTGGACAAATAGAAATTTCAGAAACCCCCTTTCGAATATTACTGGCTACGTCCCTGGTCTGGGTTCCCTCCAGGGGGTAAATTTTACCAGAATTGGAGATAAATTTTGCAAGCAAGGAAGAAATGCATGGACTTCAATAGTGAAATATAGAGTATATGAAGCACCCAGCCAAGACCGATAACTCTCTCTGCAGCAGTTATCCCTGATTGCCTTCAAGTCTACACACGAGTAATCAGAGAAGTGATGGCAAGGTGTTACATGAAAAGACTCTTTGAGGCAATCTTTTTTACAGTTGTACAAGAGAGTAAATTCGTCCATATTTTCTATGGATAAGATTTTCCTATTTATCCAAGAAAAAAGAAAAGCCTGTAAGAAGAATACAGGCGCAGGTTGGGTAACAGCTACCGATAATTGCAGATGAACACATAAATTCCCATATCATTTGATATCTCTATGTGACAATGCAGTAAGCACAACATGGTATAGAATATAAAACGAGAAAGGCTGACTTTATTGTATGCAATCACCATTTTGACGAAGTTCACATATAGACCCAACAGTGAAATAAACAGAGAATGAAAAATATTAGTACCTAGTTTGTCATACACCGTAAAACCTCTATTTGAGCGCCAGTGTTCCCTCTAAGGTGTGCGCGTGTGCGCCCCCACACAGCTTTCAGAGGCTGCGCACACGCATAGATTTACTGCGCACAGACGTATTTCGATGTAATGGAACAATGTGCTCGGTTGGCAGGTTGAGAAAGTTTGTTGTTGGCCCACTTATTACCCGGTTAGAACACCAAAATTTCTTCATTGGTTTTTGCACAAATATTAGTCATTTCCAAAAAAGTGCGCACACACGAAAATTTCTGTGCACACATACTACAAAAAATTAAAGGGAACATTGTTGAGCGCCACCTTTGTTTGAACACCACTATAGGGAAAGAGTTGAAAAATAGAGCGCTACCTCTAATTGAACGTCACCTCTAATAGAACATTCAATAACGTATGGTCGTAAAAGTCAAAACAAAGTCATGTTCAACACTCATTTAAATATCTGACATCGATTTACTTGTAGAGACAAGTAAATAACTGAATATTTACGATTTATGGTTTATTACGGTATATTTTGCTAATTACTTGTAAAAAATTTTTTGTTATTTTTTCTTTTCATTAATAAATTTTATTTCCAAATTCTGACCAGCTAGTAAAAAAAAAAGCGCCACCCTCTAATAGAACACCACTATAGGGGAAGAGTAAAAAAAATAGAGAGCTATGGCGGTGAAATAGAGGTTTTACGGTAACCCCATGACACATTATCGCCACCCACTCACACATGGTGTACCGAATTAAGCAATGCTGATCTGAAAATATCCCGATGATTCTCATAAAACAGGGCGACTTACATATCTTTAGATATCATGGACCGTGGTATGAGCATTGTATAAAAAGTACCCACCTTACAAACAGTCTCGTTACAATTTTTTTCGTCGTCCCCAGATTTGCAATCAGCGTCCCCGTCACAAAGCCATGATCTTGGTATACATTCTCTGGGTATGACATCATCCATTGATGATGTCATATTCACTGCTATATCTCCACAATGAACTTCTCCGACTCCACATTGGGTTTTATCTGGAATGAATCGATTGCTTGGAAGAACTTCCAAAAACTGACAGGTTGTGCGACATGTCAGATTTATTTGAGTTTAGTATCGAGTGTTGGGCTTCAGAATAATTGGAATACATTCCAAGCTAACTTTAAATGGACATGTTGGTATTTTTACATAAGGACGTAATCCGACTTTTTGTGTTTTTTCAAAGAATAGACAAAAATTTTAACAGGTCTTAACCCCCCCCATTTTTTTAATGTAAAAAAAATGTTGTTGAAAACTTGGATCGCTTATTAGACCGCCCAGAAAAACCCATGTTTTCAGGGCCAACCCGCTAGATGTTACAATCTAACTTGGCAATTAGAAATTTCAGAACTCCCCCCCATTGGAAATTTCTACCTCCAGAAAAAGCTTATATATTACTCACGGCAATCTTTCTCGTCTTCTGCATTAATGCAATCATTTTTCCCATCACATTGACGAAGTCCCGGGATGCAGATCGGAGGGCTGGATAGATGACAAGTAAACTGTGTTTCAAGACAGACATGATGATCTAAACAAGTTAATATTATTCATTCAATTTAGTCTTTGTACAAGAAGCCATGGATATAAAAAGAAACTACTATTAATCCTACTCGCAAACATAAATTTTGTTGTGAAATCAAAAATGAAATTCGCTAAATTTCTTCAACTAGTTTATATGAAATGTTCCGTGAATACCATATAAGAATTAAAAAATTGCTTCGCTTCGCTAATTCGAGAGCTCTGCTTATGTGTTCAAACCCTGTACAAGCAGACAGAGACATAAAAAACGGCTGTATTTGAGACAGTTTTATTAGGAATACGCTTGTCGTTGCACTTTTGATCACCCTGTGTGAGTTCACAGGTTCGAATCCTGTGGCAGAGTTGATTGCTGGCTACGGCTTTCTCCACCATCAAGTCCATGCATCTGAAACAACTGACTAATCCCATACGTGACATCGTCTGGTAACCGAATTGTTCGCTATATGATATAGATTTTTTTTGTCTTATCGTTTTTTCTCTCTCCAGAAATAAATACGAAAATCTTATCCGATCATACGAAATATCAACTAACAGTGGACATCTCATCTGATTATCTTCTAATTAGAAAATCCTACCCTGACTAAAATCTTACCACAATTGAATTCATCTGATCCATCCTGGCATTCTTTCTCTCCATCGCACAAAGCAGATGAGCTAACACACTGGTGATGTTCTTCTGTGCTGTTCAGACATTGATAGTTGCCAGGTTCACAGTAGAATGGTCCTAAAGATATCGAATGTAGAATTTTTTTATTCAGTTTACATTTAATTAGATAAATGAAACAAATTTATTAAATTTTCTAAGAGATTTTAATTAATGCGCAATCAGGAATCTTCTAAAGTACAGTTAAGTTACTCTAAAGTACGGTTACTCTACTGTTAAGAATAATAACTTGGAATTGTAAGTTGGTTTATTAGATTTAATTTATTGTGATATATTTACCGAAGGAAATAAAATCTATACAGGCAATTGTCTAGATCCTTGCTGTTATATCAAATTAACAGACATCTCGACTTGAACAAGTAACCTATTATATATTCCGTTTGGAGGCAGATTAATATCTAACTAGTTTAATTAGCAATTACAACAGAAGACGTTTGAGGTACAGTACTCAAAGATACAGGGAATCACTGAATGAAAATATAGAACAAATTTTATTTCAATTTTTCAAGAGACTTTACTTGGGGCTCAACCTTGGACCATAAACTTAGACACATTATGTCTAATGCTTCAATCATTCGGCCGTTTTATTTTTGCTGTACTAGTGGTACTTGCAACCCTTCATCAATCAGTACTCTTTCCAATTTTTGGTTGGGTTAGCGTAAAAACTGGCAAGTTTGGTTTGAATTACCGAAGTTTTTTCAGCATTCCACAATACTTTCCTAAATGATTTAGGAGTCTTGCTGCACACTAACACAAATATATTTCTGTAACGTTACGTCTGACCAAAGTCAGGCTTCATCAGACATACATACCAACTATAACAAGAAAAGCAGTTGCATGTATATTCAAACAATCAGTATAAAAGTGGGAGTTATGCATGTTAAATAATCAATAAAATTTACAAATTCTCGATTAAATAAATAACAGCGAGTAACTGAAATGAAAAATCATTAATGAAATCTCTTTGTTTTATGTTTAACAAACATCCATAGTAACTCCCATAAATTTACACTGATTGTTCAAATATACATGCAACTGCTATTCATGTTATAGTTGAACAATGTACGTTTGAGGAAGTCTGAACTTGGTATATTTGTGGGAAAGCAAGACCCTTGAAACACTTAGAATAGTAATCTTTAATCTTGCTGCAGCATCCTTGCATTATATGCATACGGTTCCGTACATTTGAACCCACGACAATTGCACCTGTATATTATTGCACTTATGGAATTTTATTTGTTTTGCGGATATTTGAACCCATACTAACCCTAATCCATGGGTTTTAGCACCCGCATATAGATTGAACCCGCGGATATACACATGGGTTAAGATGTAGCGTCCCCTATGCATACAGATCCACCGGCATAAAAGCACAGAAGAAGGAGGGTCTGGTATAGTTTAGTACCACATGTACTTCTAGTTGACCTGGCTCAACAATTTTTGCATATAGTAATCCTAACCCCCACCTGACTACGTCACCAAAAAATTACGTCATTTCGCCGTCACAGTGGCGTAATAAGGCCCGCCAAAGTATGCGGATGGTCGTCCAAAACGTGCAGAGGATCACCCGAAATCGAGCAAGCAATTTATCTCGTTTTCTCGTCACAACGATCACTATAGGAGAGAGATCGCCGGCTTTAGCAAGTTCGTTATCGGCGCGCAGATGTCATTTCGGGCGATCGTAATTATACTTTGGCAATCCCTATGACGTGATGGTGACGTCGTAGTGACGTAATTTTTGGATGGCATAGTCAGGTGAGGGTTAGGAATAGCATATGCAAAATTCGTTATGCTACACCCACTGGAAGTACTTGTGGTACTAAACTATACTAGACCCGAAGAAGGATAAGTAGTTAGTCTCGCAAAAACCGAATAAATTCTCCAATACTCACTGCAATCTAGTGGTTCATCTGAATTGTCTCCACAGTCATCTTCACCGTCACATTTCCACCAATGGTTGATGCATTTATGGTTCTTGCAAGCAAACTAAGAAAAAGCAAGAAAGCAATGCTTAAATGTAAGAACATAAAAGCAGGATGTCATACGAAAGGTTCCCTTATGTGGTAAAAAAGGTCTTCCCATATGGCATATGCGAGTGTTCCCAAATTCTTATAAATTTGTACCAATAAATTATTATAGCAAAATTTTGGTACTCTCATAGCATGTGTACCAGGCTAGGGTTAAGCCAGAATTTTATTCAAATTTTCTTATTTAGCTTGGGAGGTGCTCTATGGAGGTAACTAATTTTGGTCACCTATTTTACATCAAGTTGTGTAAAGGGACTGAAACATATCAGCAGGGTTATATTCACTTGGCTAACACAGGTAGTCCCTGAACTCATAATTAAACTAAAATAAGGAAAATCGGAATAAAATTATGTCCCAACGCTAACCTGGTACACACACTATGGGAGTACCACCTGGGAGAGATGTTGAGCATAGTGTTCTTTAACCAGTCAGCAGAGTAAACCATAATGCTCTAACCCAGTGGTTCTCAAACTTTTACAGCCGTGCCGCCTTTTTAGAATTTTGTCAAGTTTCGTGCCCCACCTCGAAAATAAATAAATAACAATAAGCTACAATTAACAGATAGTAAAGCGAAAGGTGAGAGCCTTTGTAAGGGGGCACGCATACTGGAAAATGATAACTTCTGTAACACACTAATACTTGAAAATATGTGGATCGAACGTAAATATTCAAAATCAAATCTTTCAAATATTTTTGTTTTTACCCCTAAAAAAACATGTCCCCCCTAAAAAGATTGTCTCTGCCCACCATGTCAGGTGCACCCCACCATTCGAAAACCACTGCTTTAACCCTTGTGCTACCGTCTCTACAAAGAAAACTCTTGAAACACAAAAATAAAAGTTACCTTATTTGCTGGGCAATCTGCAACACACTGTCCCAGTCTCGTCATGATATAATCATTCGAACAAGCGCATGTGAATCCTCCGCCAGGAGTTACAAGACACAGGTCGCTGCAGTTAGCTCTCCCTTTAGTGCATGGATGAGAAGACACTGAATAAGAAACAAAATAATTATCAAGGATATCAGGTTGTGGGCAGGGTGTAGCTATGAATTTGGAAAGAGGGGGTTTTAAATATTTTAATTGCTTAGCTAGACCGTAACATCTAGGCCAGTGGTTCTCAACCTTTTATGACTCGTGGCCCCCTTTCGGAGGCTTTTAGCACCCATGGCCCCCACTTTAATATTCCAGAGGTATAAATAGGGTTATTTTCATTGATAGATTCCAAATCCCATTATGTTAAAACAATTTGCACAAAAGAGAGCGAAAACACCCTGCGAAATAACCTTGTTGAGCAGCAAACTAGGAAAAACTGTGAGATTTCTTTTAAAGTGAAAAGTAAATTTAGATTTCAGCCCATCCTTGTGGCCCCCCTCCAACTCCTCTGTGGCCCCCTTAGGGGGCCAAGGGCCCCCGGTTGAGAACCGCTGATCTAGGCCAAAAATCTGGGTTTTCAAGCGTCTTCTTAGTCTAAAAAACGTTCAAGCTGTTACAAATTACTATGTTTGATACAGAAAAATGCACACGACCGGTTTAACGATTTGTCGCCAGTTGGGAGACAAATTAACAACCCAGAGTCGCCAAAGGACGACCGTGATCTACACCAGTGGTTCTCAACCTTTTCAGTTCACAGGCCGGTAAAATTTCAAAACAAATTTTGCGAACCGGCGAAACTTCAAAATTAACCAAAACATAATCAAAAGAATGCAATTACGACAATAGTAGGCGGTGCAAATAAAGAAAATCCAATTTAATGAGAAAATTGCTGCTGTCTTTTAGATAAGATACGTGAACGCGTTTCTGATGAAGTTTCTGCAAAGCGAAGTAGAGCGTTGAGTTCCACATGATTTTGTTAGGTTTGCGGGTTTCGTTGCGTCATTTGAAAGAATTTTGGCCCAAACTAGGCACGCGGAAAGCGGTTCTTATTTGCTGCTGGGAGCAATAATGAAACCTAGCTTCTCATCTTGCTGCCCAATAAAGTTTCCCTTTCAGTTTTTGCTTGTTTCTGCGTGATCCATATCAACATTGCTGCAAGGTCGTTTTGGGGCATGTTAAAAAGTTGAAATAGCAGTCTCTTCCTCGGTCCTGTCAACACCACTAACTTTGTTTTCACCGCTGGGTTTCTTTTGAAATAACTGAATAATACTTTACTGTTTGTTTGCTTCCATTTTACTACAAAACCTCGCTAAATTATATGCCTACTGTCAAATTATGGATCGTGCGAGCTGCGATGTTTTCGATCAGGTACCGTACTAAAGCACTTCCCCACTTTTTTTTTATGTCGTTGCCCACTCTCGAGGAAAGTTTTACTTCATCGACCACTTTTCTTGAAATTTTAGTTTCAGAGGGTAAATAGGTCGATGGAAGGTTGTCCAAAACAAATCAAATATTCGAATACTTTTTCAGCAAATTTTTGAATAATTCAGAATAATAGGCACTTTTCGTCGTCAGCTGGGTGTTTCGTTTTCGAGGGAAATCTTGAAACGATTTTCTGCGCATTTTCACGTATATTAATGACGATGAAATAGAATTTGTACTTTCATCGCTTGTTAGCTTCTGTGCAAGTGTACGCCGCATATGGTTGGAACATTTTTGCAGGGTTGCACTATTTACATTGCCGCCATTGCCTTGCAAGGCTTCTTATTTACGCATTCATTCTCATTGCGTCGAAATTGTCAAAATTATTGTCAAATGTGAAGCTGTAATTGTAATGATACCAAAAAAAAATTTTTACTTTCAAACCCTTTTTGGCAAATTTGAAAGCAGGCGCTTTGATTGGGATTCTCACGGTGAAACAATTGCTAAACAGTCTAATTAATTTCAATTCTAAAACAAATACTAAGAAGAATACGAATAATTTAGCAACGAGTTTGCGGCCCACTATGAGAAGCTTAGAGGTTGAGAAGCGCTGCCGTACTATGCGCTATTAACTCCTCCGACGCTAGCCGCATTTCTCAAGTCATAGACTTGACGAAAATACAGCCGTTCAGGGCTTGAAATAGGCAGAGGACATCTCACCATTTTTAGTGCTTAGACGAATACCGGTACTACAAATTAATGAGAGTCGAAAAACAATCACAAATGCCGTCAATACTTTGTATTTTGCAATTTGCTTATAGTATATTAATATCGGAATATATTTAGAAGACCGACAGAAAGGTTGCTGCGGATCGGCACCGGTCCGCGACAGGCTGTTGAAAACCACTGATCTACACGACGACCAATTTAGTTGCAGTTTCGATCCTTGTTTTACGAAACACTCCAAGAAAGCTCGCAGAACGCCAGTGTAATCGTAATCCCAATGCTCAGCAAGATTCAACAGCCTAAGTTCTAGTTTACACCAAACTTGGACTAAAGAAAAATCAACATACCTGGTTGTCTGAGTGGGTGGATGACCTTGATATCCATTGGTCGATGGATCAGATTCTTGACAAGTTGAACCGGTCGTGACTGGTTTAAACCTGAAATAATTTTTGCAGTAAAATTATGTATTTGTTTTGTTAAGTTTTTCAGGCTCAATGTGAGAAGCTTCTATCTGTGGGATATTCACCGTTTGGCATTGCTTACTCACATTGTTACTGTCTGGTAAACCGATAGGTCTGGAGTTTTGATTATTTGTTACAGTGTGGTGAAAATCAGTAGAATCAGGGTTTTTATTGGAGATGTTTATTCGGTACTCTCGAAGTATGTGCACCAAGATGTCACACAACCTGAACCCTAAATTGGTACACAACCTGAGTTCAGGTTGTGCGCCATCTTGGTGAACATACTTCAGGAGGTCTGTTTATTCTACCATACCAATGTTTAACTTTATTTTCAATTAATTGCCATGATTAGATATGTTCCCATAGACCAGTGGTTCTCAAACGATGTGGGTGTCCCTCGAAGGGGTCGCAGACAATTTATTGAGCAGGCAAGAAGCTTTATGAAAATTTCCATTTATTACTTATTGATTTTAATATGTAAGTATGTTGATAGGTATTTGTCTGTCTGTCTGTTAGATGAATACGATATCTCACGAAAGCGAGATTGAATCGGCACCAGATTTTGCATGAGCATTCATCATATTTGAACCAGAAGCCTATTGATTTTGGATGAATTATGCCGTATAACCAGCGAGTTAGTGATTAATTAGTGATGGGACACAAGGTGTCACTATGGAGTTAGAACGCTGTTTTGGGGGATTCCCTAACTTTCAATCGATAAGTCTTCGGTCTCTGACCGATATTCTCGTTTCATTATCAACGTTTTATCCATGTATTTGCGAGACGTTTTTTTGAATAAAGCATACTTTCGCTTCACCATCTGTTATTACTTATCGATTTTAATCGGTAAGTATGTTGATAGGTATTTGTCTGTATGTCTGTTAGATGCACGCCATATCTCACGAAAGCAAGATTGAATCTGCTCCAGATTTTGCATGTGCATTCATCTTATCTCGGACCAGAAGCCTATTGATTTTGGGCGAATTATGTCGTATAATTAGCGAGTTATCAATCAATTATTGATATAGTGATCTAGATTTTTGTAAAGCGAGAGAATTTTGAGACCCGCCGAGTGTGTGTGTGCGATGCGCAGTGCGCAAGTTACAAGAGCGGATGAATCGAAACTGCAGTTTCTGTTTTGGGGGATCTCCTAACTATCGATCGATAAGTCTTCGGTTTCCAACCGATATTCTCGTTTGTAGATTATTGTTAGCTAGTTTTTTTTTTAGGTGGGACATGAAACTTGACAAATTCTAGAAAGGGGGCCATGACTTGAAAAGTTTGAGAATCAATGATCAGACCAGAAATTTGAAACATTGGCTAAATTCATACAAGTCATGTTTAGCTATGCATTGTATTTACATACATAAAACACTTGAAGATGAAAGCTTTTCTTCTTACCTTTATATTTATGAACTTTAAAGATAGAGTTCTGGTGCCAGTCTGTCCAATACAAATTATCTCCGAACAAAGACATCGCAAATATGTGAGGTACAACAATACTTCCTGCTGTTCGACGAATCACTGTTGAATAAAAATACTGGTTATTATGAAATCATAAAACAAAATTTGAGAAAATAATTGAGATGTTCATTGAATATTTTTTTCATTTTGTGGAGATAATAAAAAATAAGAAATGCAATGAATAATATTGATAACAAATTATGAGGGAAACTGTAATCCTGAGAAAGCCAAGTTAGATGAGGGAAAAGACATATTGTAAGACCAGACCGTGCTGGACCAACAGCAGTTGATAGTACTAAGCAGGTGGTCTTTATTTAGGCGCTCCAGAAGTATGTGTACCAATATGGAGGTAACTAATTTTGTTCGCCTACTTTACACCAAGTTGTGTAAAGGGACTGAAACCTATGGGCAGGGGGTATATACACTTGGCTAACACAGACAGTCCCCGAACTCGTAAAAGAACTAAAATAAGGAAAATCAGAACAAAATTATGGCCTGAAATTAACCTGATATACATACTATGAGAGTACCTTTAATACTTCTTTCAGTGAAACTATGCTAAAACTGGGCATTTTCGAATATCTGATGACTTCTGAATCAAATCGAAATTGGAACACTTCAAAGATATGTAATTATATGTGACTTTTTTTATTGTAATGCATCCTCGGGACGGTGACCTTACATTTGAACCCATGCGTATATCCACGGGTTCAATCTATATGCGGGTGCTAAAACCCATGGGTTAGGGTTAGTATGGGTTCAACTATCCGAAAAACAAAAAAAAATTCATAGGTGCAATAGCATACAGGTGCAATTGTCATGGGTTCAAATGTACGTGGGTTCAAATGTAATGGAACCCCTCGGGACACATAAATCACTGAAAACATGGAATCCATCACTCAGACAGTTCGTGGAGCGTTCGCACACAATAAGTTCCATCAATAACTCACTAGGAAGAATGAAGTCATATGTCAAAATTGCATATTGAAAATATGGAGAAGAAACCACTCCTACCTTCAGTGGACCAAATACAAGATGGCAGCAATTAAAAATTTTCGTCTGTACTGATTGGAATAATACACTATTGGGTTCAAAATGCCCTACTTGTAACTCATAGCCCAGTAACCGTTTGTCTACAAATGCTAGCCAAAGCAGGAACAAACCGCCAGCACCATTCTTTGTCCAAATTTAAAGATTGCCTAGACAAGTAGGACGATATTGGGACAACTTATTCTAATCTAAGCTATTATTTGTGGTAACACTTATTCTATTATTAACATCACTTACTGATCGGACTGAAAGCAAATTGGCAAACTTTGTTCATAGAAATACAACAGGCGTGGAAGAGAGGGTTTCATGGGTCAGTATTACCCCCCCCATAAACTGTGGAAAAAAAATCATAAATCACACATAGCAAATCTTCTAAGCTTGAAACGATTTTTAGAACCTCGACACTCTTAAAAACTTTTTTTTTCACCTTAATTTTTTACAGATCAGGACGACATATCTGGAATCCAGCCCAATGCCTTCATGCCCAGAGTATGCCGACAGAAGTTCTATTGATCATCTCCTTTCGAGAGTCGATAAGGAGATCACTTATACCACATTGACGTGGTAGACAGGATAGGATAGGATTTACATATTTATCCCGGGGGAGAGAAAAGCTGATAAGACGTCTTAATCATATGGCGAACCACGGCCTCTCGTCCGGTTACCAGTCCAAGTCAGGTATGGGATTAGTTAGCCAGTTATTTGTCTTCGGAAGCAGGGACTTGATGGTGGAGGAAGCCGTAACCGAACAGCGGTTACATGAACCACCCTAAGGCAGCGAGGAGTACAGCAATCCTGTCGCACATGATCATCCCCGCATGGGATCCGAACCTGCCAGCACGATGCGCCACACCACCGAGCCTACTCTTGAAAACACATGTAGACGAGCAGTATCAACGGTGGCGTGTGAAGAATACCTCACTCAAAATCTTATCCAATCTATCCTACCATTTATGGTAACATTAAAACAAAATTCCTTACCCATTCTAGGTCTGCTCCCATCAGCATTACAATAAGCAATGTAGTCTTCCTTTGCATCTGCCCAAAATAGCCTGTTAGTCGAGTAATCAAATGTCAGAGCATTTGGCCACGTCAGTTTCCTTTCTGGCCAGTCTTTGCCCTTGATGGTTTCTGCGTAAAAAGCATAAAAGAGATTGTTCATTAAAGAGGATATGAGTGGGGTATGTTTTGGTGCGGCATTTCCTTACCAGGAAAAAATTTTCCTTTTTTATGGGGGGGGGGGGGAGGATTTTATTTTGTATTCGATGGTTTCTGTCGGAGAATATATAAGCTTGTTGGTATATTATCGTTATGTACATAGAAGAAAAGAAGTTCGTTTGTTAGAGTGAAAGAGGGTGGGGTATGTTTGGGCGTGGCGTTTCCATAACCAGGGAGAAATTTTACTTTTTTCGTAGAGTGAGTTTTTTTTATCGTTTTTTTTGTAGAAAAATGTATAACTTTGCTGGTTTGTTACGTTTTCCCCCATCTGGTTATGTGCGATCATTTAGGCAAAACCTAATGTGGGTATATTTGTTGGTTTGGTATATAAAAATGGGTTGATATATGATAGTCACTGTGCTAATTGATTTGTTCATAGTCATTTGGTTGTGTCTTTTCAAAGTTTGAAAATGTGCTGCCCAAACGGCCAGAACATTTACGATAGAAAAACAATAGAAAAAGGAGTAGTTGAAGGGGGGCCGCAATGCTAGGTGCAAAACAGGTTAGACTTGTTCTATACAAGCAAAATCTTTGCTTTCCCTAATTTCATTGTCTGATAAGGTTATTTCACAGGATGTTTTCACTTTGCTGAGCAGGAATTGTTTGAACATAATGGGATTCGGAGTCTATATATAAACATAATACTTTAAATACTACTGGAATTATATTAATATGTCCATGCGTACTTGAACCCTCCAGAAGGGGCCCATGACCCATAAAAAGTCCAGAAACACTGGCCTATAGCATAGAACTGAGTTTCCCAAACTTTTTGGTGGCGGACCCCTATTTGAAAATCCTTATTTTGACGGACTCTCACGTTCTGCCGTATCAATTTCAGGGTGCTCTCGAAGTATGCGAACCAAGATGGCGGACATCGGAACGTAACATGGGTAACAGGTTAGGGTTAGGCGATAATATTTTTCCAATTTTCCTTATTTTAGTCCTATTATCAGTTCGAAGACTAGCCAAGAGCCTCCCGTAGTATTTATACCTAAAATTATGGCCTAACCCTAACCTAGTACACATATTACATTCCGATGTCCGCCATCTTGGTTCGCATACTTCGGGAGCCCCAATTTCAGTGCCTAACCAACGAGTAAAGATAATGTTCATCTACAACACAACACAAACGACAATAATGTGATGGATTACTTTGCTTTTCACTGCACAATTTTCCGTCTCTCGGGGCAATTTGTGACAAGCAAACTCATAGGTCTCGACATGTATTTTGTCATCATATTTATAAGAGTGAAAATGCTGCCTCATGAAAGTAGGTCGTTGCAAAAGGATTTTAATTGACTTTTCTGACAGCAATGTATATTCGTCCGCAAAGCTGAACCAAAAATATGCAATTTCTCTTTAATTGAAATCAATCATTAAATATCGAACAGACTTTTGAATATGTTGCGAACCCCCTCCGCAGTTGTCATGAACCCCCGGGAGTCCGCCCGAACCCCTGTTTGAATAAACCCTGGCATAGATGATACTCACTCAGTATTGTGTTATCAAGAATAATCTTTTTCTCAGAGCCGTCCATACCAATCCTACCAATATGTGGATAACTTCCCCAGTCAGACCAGTAAAGATACCTGGAAAAATTGGGTTAAAAAATAGAATTATGGTGATATAAACACGGGACTTCAAGTCAAACACTTGTGGCCATGTTCCTTTTAACTTATCACTCCAAACAAGAGATCATTTTTTTACGTTAAGGTAAAACTATGATTAAGAATAACTCAACAATCATTTTCCACAGATGGCAATGGTGTAAGCCAGGGATGTCCAAAATGAATCAGACATTCGAATACATTCGAAATTCATTATATTCAATATAAGATTTTTGAATTTAGGAATAATTTAGAACATTTTGTTTAGAAATTAAGTATTTTAAGTAGATCAAAATGTTTGATAACACAACTGGTACGAAAAATCACAGAAAAAACGATGATCTTTTTTATTTATGTCGTTTTAGATGTGATCAACATGAATTTATAGTGAATTTAGAATGTATTCAAAATTTTGTGTATGAAAATATTTTTTCAAATTTGATGGTTATTTAAGCTTTAAATAAACATTGGTATTTGTAAGGTATACAAAGTTATTGAAAAATTGTAAAAGGTATACCACGATGAAAAAGGTTGAAGAACACTGGCTCAGACCTTCCAATCTTGAGACACTGCTTGGCCTGAGCCTTGTTTAGAGTAGAGCCAGAAATAGCTCATAAAAATACTCTCGATCTCAAGAGATAAACTTACCCTAACTGTGGGTTGAGTGCAATAGCTCTTGGTTCATCCAGTCCTTCATTAACCAAAGTTTTTCTGAAAGCTCCGGAGGTCGAAGAGACTTCAATCGTTTCAACAACTAAAAACAAAGAATGATAAAAAATTTAGTAACAAGCACACATGGCTGTGGAGAAGATGTATAAGTAGTAGTTTCAAACTCCCAAAAATCGAGTCAGAACCAAAATAAGATTGGAATTTCATTTTATAATGATGATATTGAGGCAGTGGCGTAGCCAGGGGGGTGGTTTTGGGGGTCGAACCCCCCTCCTCCCCCTTTATAAATGTAAAAAAAATAAAATCATTTTGCTGTATCATAGATAGCAATTTTCCGTAGCTTGAAATGCTTTTTAGCCCCTAAGACTAATAAAAACACGCGTATTCCAGCGTTCGATCGGAGCCGCTAGCAATTTCGATCTAACTTGCCAAAAAAAAAATCCCAGAATCCAACTCCCCCCCCCTTTGAAAATTTTTGGCTACGTCCCTGTTTTGAGGTGAAAATTTCAGACAAAAGTGTAATCAGGTCAAATTGATTAAGCATACTCAATGAACAATTTAGAGAAGACTTGCATAACTTTTTGACATCAAAATTAGATTTTATAGAAAATCAGGGTTGAAATTTCCTTCGCACAAGTGTTGGGGCATTGTTCTTTTCAAAATGACACAAGTGCTTGGAGTCTGGCGTAAATTTGGCCCAACTACATAATCCAATCAGTTGAAGTTACACAAGACTAAATCCCTATCCTTCCTCTACGCCTGTGGTCTTCAAACGATGAGGGGCCTAAACGATTTTTGAGGGGACTTTAGGCTAATTAAAAATAAAAATAATTGTTAGATTTGATCTTGCGTGTCTTTTGAATGAAAAAAAATACTTTCGTTTTGCTATCTGGTATTTGTAGCTTATTGTTAGCTAGTTATTTTTGAGCTGGGGCACGAGACTTGACAATTTCTAAAAACTGATGGCACCCTAAGAAGTTTTAAAACCACTGCTCTGCGCCTTTGCAATGGTGGACCCATATGCTTATGAAGCAAATAAAGAATATAAGTAACACGATCAGAGTCACTTCTTCATTACCAAACCAGGACTATAGCCTATAGTTTTCCATGTAAAACTTCCAACTTTCGGTAAGCGCGGATGCATTGCGTCATCAGGTGATATGCGTAACTGCCACAAGTTGCACAAATTTTGACGATGTCATAGAACACGAAAAACGAATTCAACATATCTCACCTCTGTCACTCCAGTATAAATTCCCTCCAACCCAGTCAACAGCAATTCCATGAGAATGTACTTTGTTTATAGTTTCAGCATCTGTAGCATCATAGGTTCGATTACCACTTGGTAGATGGTGCCTGTAGGAATAAGGATATATGTTTTGGCGCTCCAGAAGTATGTGTACCAATATCAAGGTAACTAATTTTGTTTGCCTACTTTACATCAAGTTGTGTAAAGGGACTGAAACTTATGGGCAGGGGGTATATTCACCTGGCTAACACAGATAGTCTCCGAACTTGTAACAGAACTAAATCAAGGAAAATTGGAATAAAATTATGGCCTAACCCTAACCTGGTACACATACTACTCGAGTACCATGTTTTATACGAAGATTTTGACACTTTCATCCTAAACAGGTGCCTGTAATAGCAGCCACCTATATGTCAGGTCAAGGGTCGCAGGTCAAATGCATGCCACAAGGACAAATTGTGCAGCCCACATAAAAGTGCCAATTTTAATGATGTGCGCCCATATCATTCAATTTGGTATGTGCAAATAATTCGAATACCTTTGCGCTGCGAAACGTATAGTTGGGTCCAATCTATTATCTATGCCTATGACCTTCTATTGCCCGGTATTTTTGTGTCTACAACTACTAGAAAGCCTATGTTAAATAAAGATGCGGCCTGCAGTTTTACTAAGGTATTTTTATCTGGTCCTTCTGTATTAAAGGTCACCTGCTCTAAATAATGGCCTGTAAAGCAGTCACTAATTCTGATTCAAGAATAGGCAAAGCCCTGCAGGGCAATGGCAGACAGCTCTAATGTAAGCTACAACACAGCACAGCGGCAAAATCATTTAGTACAACGATACAACTAAATTTTTCAATTTTTATCCATATATTCATCTAATCTACCATTTATGGTGACTTAAATTGTCAAGCTTGAACCAATGAACCACATTCAAGCCAATTTTGACAGCATATTTATCATAATCGCACTAAACATCGACTTATCTCAGTGTTCCCACTTAAAATATCAAAGTTCAGTAAATCAGCTTTACTTTGGTAGGATTATACCTCGACAAATATCAGTGTTCACTTTAAATAAATATTTTCCATTTGAATGATCTTTGGCAAACCACATTGGTATTACAGAATAAAATACTAAAACCCTAACAAATAATCTTATGATGGCAGAATGATATCTCGACAGAAATCAGTGTTCACTTTTATAGAATCTTACATTTGTATAGAACTTCGGTCAGAATTGACATCACTCCAGTACAAGGTTTGCATGGCCCAATGAAAATCCATCGCTACTGCTGTATGAAGACCTTTAATGTGAAGGCGAGTAGTTGAACCATTCAGCTTCATTTCTCTGATGTAATATCTAGAAACATTTTTTAGCTATTTAGAATAATGAGGTGTTTTGCTCCACACAAGGGTCTATACCAGGGGTGGGCAACATACGGCCCGCGACGAGATTTCAACCGACCCGCTGACTGTATTCAACCACACTTTGTAATGTGGTCCGACGCATCATTCCTGAAAGTTGCCGATCGCTCTACTCTCATCGCACTGTCAGTGCGAGCTGGTGAAATAAACAATTGCCTTAGTGAACAAACAATTGCGTTAGCACACTTGTTAAACAAACAATATAAGGTCAAAGTAGAGAGCGTTGTAAACATTCCCCACTACTGTTATCAGTTATATTTAGATTTTAAATATAAATAGATTTTAGAAATCAGATTCTACATTAAGTTTAATTAACCATGAAATATCCTAAGAAACGTAAAGTTGACAGAGAGTGTCGAGCCTTTAACAAAGATTAGATACCGAGGTATTTTTTGTAATAATCCGGCCCGCCGAGGACTTCATTTTCCCACATCTGGCCCGCCGACTAGAGAAATTTCCCACCCCTGATCTATACCAACCATGGGCAAAGTAGGGCCCGCGGGCCAAATCCGGCCCGTTGGTTAATTCAATATGGCCCGCCTGATCTGGTCACAACCAAACTGAAATCTAATTTTGATGTTTAAGCTAAAATAGCTCAAGGAATTTGTTGAAATCGCAGTTGAATTTAGTTTTGGCACGAGGCTTATTGTTTTCCACCTTTGTTTCATAACACTGTAAATATTGTTAATAAATGTAACTTTTACGTCACATCCGACTCGTTGGAAAATTCAATCTGGCCCACCTGATCTGGCCACAACCAAACTGAAATCAAATTTTGATGTTTAATCTAAAATAGCTCAAGGAATTTGTTGAGATTGCGGTTAAATTTAGTTTTGGCCTGAGGCTTATTGTTTTCCACCTTTGCTTCATAACACTGTAAATATTGTTTTTAAATGTAACTTTTTACGTCACATTTACATGGCCCGCCAGTGTAAGTGTGCAAAATGTTTGGCCCATGGTGCAAAAACCTTGGCCCCCCCTGGTCTATACGATTTCATCTAACTTTGGGTAGGTTACGGCTTCCCTCACCACCCAACCCATGCATCCCAAATGTATAACTGTCTAACTCAGGGTGGTCCAAACCCAGGCCGGCGGGCCAAATATAGCCCGCCACTTATTTATCTGTGGCTCGCGTCACATTCGGAGAGTAATCGAAAAATCGCATTTCGTGTTGTTTCTTAATAAAATTAATCGGAAAAATCTTTTGACATATTGTTACATCACTAATGTCACTGAATTGACTAGTGTTATGGCTAGCTGAGGAAACTAGCGAAGTTGAATGATGTGCTCGACGGTCTAAATTATTATCTGGCTTTCTATCTTTTTGGTCGGGAATATATGCTAACAATAATATTATTATAGGCATCATTGAAAACTAAAAATCGAATGCGGAATCTATTAGCCTATGTTGGCAATGCCTGATAACTATGTGTTTGCACAATAAAAATGTTTGTTTTGTATTGCACTGTTTGCCTATTCTCGGCACTATCGTGGCCCGCGAACAATGCAAAAATATTTTTGTGACCCGCGGAGTCGACAACCTTGGACCACCCTGGTCTAACTATTCAAATACACAATATGGGCTGATAACCGGGCAAGGGGGCGTGACTGATCTACCTTTTTGCAGTGTATAATTGTGTAACGTTCTATACCAGTTTATACATGGTTCTATTGTGACTTCTGGTTAATGGACAGCGTGCCGCATTGAGGTAAGCGTTAGGAATACGCTCTCCACCGCACCTCTGATTACTCTGCGTGGGTTCGCAGGTTCGAATTCGATACAGGGATAGTTAGGTGCGAGAGGATTGCTGGACTTCTTGGTCTTGCTTCAAGTAATCCTACATAGAGAAAACGGTGCTCACGAAGTATGCGAACCAAGATGGCGGACATCGGAACGTAACATGGGTAACAGGTTAGAGTTAGGCGATAATTTTTTTCCAATTTTCCTTATTTTAGTCCTATTATCAGTTCGAAGACTAGCCAAGAGCCTCCCGTAGTATTTATACCTAAAATTATGGCCTAACCCTAACCTAGTACACATGTTACATTCCGATGTCCGCCATCTTGGTTCGCATACTTTGGGAGCCCCGAGAAAACTTACTTATTGGCAAACAGAATGTAAGGCTCGCCCGAGCTTTTATCAACCACACAGGAGTCTGGTTGAGAAGTGTTGATATGATATCCTCGTGCGCATGAGCATGAATAAGAACCTTTCTTGTTGACACAAATCTGGAGTATTGAAAAGAAATAGTTGGGTTTTAAAGATAGATAGAAACAAAATAGTTGTGTAAATTAGGTCTGGTGATGTGGCGCATCGTGCTAAGCGTTAGGAATATGCTTGTCATAGAACCTAACACTAACTAGCTAACTAATCGTATACACGACATGTACTGGTAACCACTTGGGTCTCTTGAAAAAAGGGATAGGAGCCACCGGCCTACACTATCTATTGAACCCTCAGAAAAGTGGTCAACACACAATTTGAAACTAAAACTTGTAATCCATAACACCAATAAACTTAACACTAATCAGTACTTCCCAAACTTTTTGATCGTGCGGCGTGCAATTATCAGAAAAAAAAAACTCGCTTTCGAATAAAAGTCAATTTTGTGACTGTTAATATGTACTTTATGCGTTTTAAAGTTTGTAAACATATAGGCCTAAGGGACAAAAAAAAAGATCAACTATTGTTCCTCATCTCTGCCTGATTTTCCTTTAAAATGCCTCCGGGAAATGCTGTACCAAGCCATGACCTCAATAAACAAACCTGTGAACAAGGAGGATAAGGATCGGCCTCAGCACATTCATCGATATCAATGCAAGAAAAACCATCACTGTGTAGTCTAAAACCTTCCCGACATTGGCAATCATATCTGTGAAAAATGAAACATAATTATATTCCTGACAGAGTAGTTTTGGATTTATTGAATTAAAAATTTATTTGAATTCAATTATTTTGTGTCATTCTATATTAGCAGTGCTTCTATCATAAATAGAAGCAAAGCCGTCTCCTTCACCCTGAAATATGGCCAATTTATAATTTAATTTATTGCAATTTGTATGTTTGTGCCTATTTTAAGTATGGTGAGAAATAAACTACTGATTACTGATTACTAAATATTGAATTTTCATGCTGCCAGACACGAAAATATATATTCCTTTGGCAGTATGGATCTACATGGTATTAAGTCTTTTTCTTATTAATTTTTATTTTCTATCCTGCCAGAAGTGTTTAGCACCTTGCGCGGCAGTGTGGCTCAACGGGCTAAGCGTTAGGAATACGCTCGCCACCGCACCTCTAATTACTCTGCATGGGTTCGCAGGTTCGAATCCCATGCAGGGATGGTTATGTGCGAGAGGATTGCTGGACTCCTCGCCGTCGTTGGGTGGTTCACGTAACCGCTGGTCGGTTACGGCTTCCTCCACCACCAAGTCCATGCTTCCGAAAACAAACAATATAACTAATTCCATACCCGACTTGGAATGGTAACCGGACGAGAGGCCGTGGTTCGCCATATGGATAAGCCGTCTTATCGGCTTTCCTCTCCCCCGGGATAAATATGTAAATCCTATCCTATCCCTTATTAGTAACCTGTAATTTGGCTAAGAGATCAAGCTTCTTCATTTCAGAGTGAGCGACTCATTTTATCAAGGATCTATGCCAGACATGAGCAAACTATCACCCGCGGGCCAAATACGGCCTGTTGGGTCATTCAATCTGGCTCGCCTGATGTCACCACAACCAAATTAAAACCAAATTTTGAAGTTAATCTGTGAAATAGCTGAAAGAATGTGGTGAGATTACGATTAAATTTTGTTTTTTAGTATGGCTTTCGTAGCACTGTGAATATTTTTTGTAAAATGGAATTTTTTACGTCACACTTATATGGCCCGTAAGTCTAGAGTGGGAAAAATTTCTGGCCTCTGTTCCAAAAACTGTACCGGCTCCCGATCTATACACTTTTATGCTAAAAATTGCAAATCCTATTTCAATTAAACGTGGATAAATAACCAATGATTTGATTAGTCTTGCTGTTTTTAGGATTTGAATAAAATTAAAATGATTATCGTTTTGAATAAAACTATTTTAAAATTATTCGAATAACCGAGTACCGTATTTCTCCGTGTATAATACACACTTCCAGCTTCGGATTTCATTTCCAAAATTAGGGGTTGCGTATTATACATTGGTATAGGAAAATTTCAAAAATCCTGATCGATATTTTACATGCAATTGCCGAATACATATCACATGCGTCCTTTCCTTTTTATTTCTATTAATTTTATGTGACAAAGTCATTATAACCAGATCATGCTTGTTGCAGTAGAATCACACCCATGGAATGGACTGTCTTGTCTAACAAAAGACAACGCATCTATTTCAATAACCAGTGTATATAAGTGATTAAAACGGCAATTTGAATCGATTGTTTAATTGTTGTTGTCGTCCGTTATTCCTGTTTTGCTTTTCGAAACAACAAAATGAGGTCGACGCAAGTAACTGAAGTGAGTGACGGAATTCGGTCGTGCGTATTATGCATGGACCCTTGTATTTTCATATAATGCACATTCTAAAAGAGCCATGCGTATTATACACTGATAAATACGGTATTTAAAATACTGAATATACTTAATTTGGAATAGATTTGGTATACCTAATGCTATATGCATAGCATAGAAATTAATCTGATATTTGAATACCTGATACGTACGTATATTTGTAAGTCTCACTTACTTGAACGTTTTTTCTATACATATTTGTTGGCATTTGTTCTCTCTTTCGCATTCTCTGATGTTACAATGAGTTTCGTCGCTAAAATCAGGGCAGTCTTTCACCTGATTGCAAGTCACTTCTTTACTGATGCAAGTCCCTGGGTAAGAGAAAACAGAATGTTGTAAAACTGCGTTTTTCAACGCAGAATTTAATTGTTTTTCAAAGAGAAAATCAAGGGTGCAGCAAGGGGGAGTCCAAACCCCTTGCCCTCTTCTGAAATGTTGATAAAAAAAATTTTTGTATTATCTATAGCAATTTTTTGAAGGTTAAAAATGTGTCATTTTATACACTCAAGCAATGTTCCCTCTAATTTTTTGTAGTGTGTGTGCACAGAAATTTTGGTGTGTGCGCACTTTTTTGGAAATGACTAATATTTGTGCAAAAACCAATGAAGAAATTTTAGCGTTCTAACCGGGTAATAAGTGGGCCAACAACAAACTTTCTCAACCTGCCAACCGAGCACATTGTTACATTACTTGACATACGGCTGTGCGCAGTAAATCTATGCGTGTGCGCAGCCTCTGAAAGCTGTGTGCGCACGTACACCTTAGAGGGAACACTGCCCACAAGACTTCCCAAACCCACATTTTTTTTCCTTCCGGCAAGACCTGCTAGTTGTTACGGTCTAACTTGACAATTAAAAATTTCAGATTTCCCCCGTCCCTCCTTAGCAAAGCCGTTGGAGAAAATCATATTTTGTATTTGTGTTTACTTATATAGTACTATTAGAGTATATATATATATATATGTGCACGTATTATAATGTTTTGAAACTTTACGAATACCAGAGTGACAGAGTATCATTAGCTAATGTTTCATAAAGATAGAACACCATAGTTTCTTTAGGTTTAGACTGTTGAAGGGTGATAAATGCTCCCAATCACTGTTTTCCATCTGTTTTTTATAACTTAGTATCCAGGAAAAAGTCACAAAAAACCCCAATAACAGCAATATAGCCAGGGCTGCCGTACCTACCTTCAAAGAATAGTTTGTGTAACTCAAATCAAAACACAACTTAGAAGTGAGATGGAACAAATAGTATCTGAAAAAAAAGAACTGCTGGAGCTAATCCTCCCTAGTGCAAAGTACGATAGACACGGGTCGCACTGGCATAATTTTTTTTGTTTTTTGTTATCTTATTATTATAATTATCTGGTGTGCATATTAATGGCCGCCTTGAATATAGCGAACCACACCATAAACAGTGTATTCTAAAAGCAGTAATTATTACCGTCATCACATTTGACATGCGTTGCATTATCACAATAATTTGGTGGGGTGGTGGTTGGAGTCTCAGTTGTGTCAGAGTCGCAATCTTTTTCATCGGATGCATCAGAACACGAGTAATATCGATCACATCTTAGTGAGGCGGGAATGCAGTTTCCCTTTGAACACTGGAACTGATCTTTTCTGCAGATGTTTGACGTGTCTGAAAAAGAATATTCATCTATATCAGAACTTTTCAAAATGATAACTTCTGATCAGGGGGCATACCCAAAGAGGGGTTGCAGGTCGGAACCTTTTGAAATGGAAAAAAGGCATTTTTCTGTATAATACATCCGTTGCTTGAAACACTTTTTAGAACCTCACACCCAGTGGTTCTCATCCTGGGGGTCTGGAACCCCAGGGGGGTCGTGAAGGTCTTGCAAAACAGTAGAAAACAATACAAAGCTCTAGGTTAAATATTCCCAATAGAACGCAAAAAAGTCTAGAATTGACTCTCGTTTGCTTCCGAGAGATATCCTCTAGCTGTCGTGAGACCCCAGAATGTCAACAAGCGACGCGAGTTGTTTATGGCATTGTTAACCTTTGTGACGTCACACGAACTTGTCTGCATTTCCACGCGTCACGATGAGATAAACACGCGGGCTTCGAAGCAATGCTGCAGAACCATTAATCATCAATGGTGGAACGCCGAGATTTCTATAACAAGGGGTTTACTGCAGGGTAGGCTTGTAGTCTTAGTTGCTTCATCGTAAAGAGTATCATACATCCTGCAGCAACGTTATAATTCCGTTACTTTATATACCATGGCGAAGAAGCGACAGTATGAAAATGAAATATGAAACAGGCTTTTCAGCTTTTCTTCATATGAAAACGAAGGCACGAACTCGAATGAAAGTCGAGGATGATATGAGGAGATGAGCTTTGTCAAAAACTCAACCACAAATTGCGCAGGCTACGCCGTTCCAAGCCAGCCATCACATTGAGTGTAGTGAAACCATTCGAGGAAAACCATTTAGACTGTTTTCTAGGCTTGTATTAACTTAAAGATTACTACTATACTAAAACAAGAAAAAGAACAAGTTAAAAGATGTAGCAATCCTGACGCACGCTAACCAAATAAAACCTTCGCATTGCCACGAGACTATTAACAATGGTGCCACGTTGGCCACATTAGGTGGCGCTAATTCAATTTCATCACATTGAGTAAAACTGCAGTTTGATCAAAAATTAAATTACGCAATATTCACTTTCCCGCTTTTTTTATTGAAAAGTGTAGAAAGTAAGGCCGGGGGTGGCGAGTTATGTAAAAACCACCAAAAGGGGTCGTGATCCCGTAAGGTTGGGAACCACTGACTCTTAAAACCCATGTTTTCGCCCTGCTAACTGCTTCGTATTCCCGTAGCGCATTTATTATTGCGCAATTCCACAATACGATTCTGTATAGTCTCAGTAGCTTGTTTCTTTCATTGACATTGACCAAGTTCCTGTAAACGCGATTTTGTACTTAGTTATTTATTAGGTAATAACCTCCAAAGACGAATTCATTTTCTATGATTACCGTTACATATCATTATCTACCTAGACTTGGCCCTACTCAAACTCAATACGTCACTATCTTCGCCAAATGCGCAACTTTTTTTAAATTATCGGCGGCTAAAATACTACATACACTCGATCAAACATGCATCTATTTTGAACGATAGTAACAGACCGAAAAATATGTAATCTTTTGAGAGTGAAATTTAAATGTGACAGACACATAGATATTGAATTGCGCCCTCTCTTCGACGTGCCTGAATAAGAATATTCATAAAAATTAGAGCTTTTTAAAAGAATAACTTCTGATCAAGAGCTTTTTAAAAGGATAACTTCTGATCAGAAGGGTACGCAGGGAAGGGCGCTTCAAGAGTCAGAATTCCCCCTTTTTAAAAATATGGAAAAAAATATTTTTTCTGCTCATACATACCCTCAGTGAATAATCTTTCAGTTAGTATCTTCATGTTGCAATTCGTTACCTTAAATTTTAAAATAAATACAGGACCCATTCCCCCTAATCTATTAATCCCCCCCCCTCCCTTTTACCCCAAAAAAATCAACAAATCAACATACTACAAGGCTTCTCATCACTGCCATCATTGCAGTCATTTTCTCCATCGCAAACGTATTCTAGATCGACGCAAGCTCCTGTGTTCTCACATTGGAAGTCAGTCTCTGTGCATTCATGGTCTAAAGAAAAAATAATTTTTTCTGCCAAACATATTAATTTTTTTATGCATGTCTGCTGCATGAGCAACTTAAACTGACAACAGCAAACTACAGCCAGGGGACCAAATCTGGCATGTTGGGTAATTCAATCTGGTTCGCCTGATGCTGCCACAACCAAATTTTGATGTTTTAGCTAACAAAATAGCACAAGGAATTTCTTAAGATTGCGATTAAATTTATTTTGGCACAAGGCTTATAGTTTTCCAATGTAGCTTTTGGAATTTGGAGTTTACTTACATAAAAATCAATTGGCAGCCCAACTTTCCCTCTACATATAGGTGGTGATAAAACTTAGATACAAAAATGTTCTATTGGGGAACATACTAATTCAAAAGTAAAAGTGTTTTAGGCATGTCTGCTCAATAAGCAGACAGGAAGCTTAGACCATGTTTCTATCCCTACTCTAATGTTCAGCTTCTAATGACTATTTGAGACTAGCTCCATTACGAGCAACTGAGGCTATGGCGATAATGTTTTCCCCATAGTCCACAAAAGTGATGTTGATAAATAAGCCACACTAGAAAACTAGATATTAAAATTTGGGCTTATCCGAAGTATGTATGAAATTTTCAAAATTTTTTATATTCAGCACCCCCGGGTAAAACCTGTAATTGACCACTACCAAAGCTTACCACAACCAATTTCATCGCTCCCATCTCGACAATCTTCATCTCCGTCACAAACCCAGCGGTCCGGTACACATCTACCAGTGTCAGCACATCGTAGAAAGCCCTTGCCACATTTGATTTCGCCTAAAGATAATACTTACAATTACAAATATAGGTAACGAGTAAGCAATGTTTGAGCATGGAGTTTGAGCATCTAGGATAGGATTTACATATTTATCCAGGGGAGAGGAAAGCCGATAAGACGGCTTAACTATATGACGAACCACGTGTAGTCCAGTTACCATTTCATGTCGGGTATGGGATTAGTTAGTTATTTGTTTTCGGAAGCATGGACTTGATGGTGGAGGAAGCCGTAACCGACCAGCGGTTACGTGAACCCCCCTACGGCGGCGAGGAGTCCAGCAATTTTCTCGCACATGATCATCACTGCATGGGATTCGAACCTGCAATCCCACGAAGAGTTGTCTAAACCCCTATAAAAAGTTTTAGGAGCACTAAGTGTTCAGAAAATATTGGTGAACAAGTAAAACCCAGGAGAGGGGGGGTTGAGCGATACAGAATAAAAAAGTGTTCCCCTTTAATTAAAACAACCAAATATCACAGAATCGTTAAAACTTAAAAAATAAAAGTATTGCGCAAATATTGTACAAGAAATTTGTCAGACAAGCATGATGATTGTTCCTATGGATCATAAGAAATGTTCCCTTTCATCTAGAATAAAACAGAATTATTTTGGTTGAAATCACGGAACCATGAATTAGTTTGAAAAAAAAGTTAAGATATTAGTTTTCAGAAGCATGGACTTCATGGTGACATGGGCAAAATGACATGCGAATAGGCGCCCAGCGCAGCGATTAGGTGAACCACCCTATTCCATCTCAAGTACTGAAAGATAGAAATTGATTGCTTTCGCTCTGCTTGCTGAGAAAGGTGAGTTTATCTTAACAATAATCGTTGTAAAATCTTCTGCAAAACGGAATATACCAAAACAGTGGTTCCCAAACTTTTTAGAATTGGGACCCACTATTTATTACCACAGCTTATGGCGACCCACTTAACTTTAATTTAATTTTCTTTTGTTTTTTTATGACATAACACAGAACACAGCAATGACCAATAACCGCAAAACTACAGTGTTTCCTCGAAATAAAGACCTGGCCTGAAAATAAGATAATAATTTGAGTTTTCAAAATGATTCTAATTAAACCCTACCCTTAAAATAAATTAAAAATGTGTGGAAAAGAAAAAGTTCATTGACCTGAGGTAAGGTGAAAATCACCCCACTATTCAAGATTGTGTGATATTACAATTATGATATTTGTCACTTGATTTCTGTATAGGAAATACAAATAAAAACAATGGATGTCGGGTTTTATATAATGTTTAGTAAAAAATCTTGTGATTTTCTACAATGTAATTTTATTTTTGATAAATTAACACAAAAGACCTCTTCCAAAAAAAAACATAGTGGTATTCTTCAAATGAAAATAAATCTAAAACCTGTCTAAATTTTGGGGAAACACGGTAAGAAGTGCTGTACAGTGTACAAAACTGCAATGCGTAAAAAATCCACATGGCCATTCTTTGCGTAACAAATTTTTGTTCCTTTGAGAAGATCGTAAAAAGGAACCTTTCACAGATTAGAATTTAAATGCAATTTAATTTCTTTTGTTTTTTTGAAGATTTATGTATTCGAGTCGCCACCGATCCTAATAACCAGTATAATTAATTAAAGCTTTCTACATCTTTTCACGACCCACAATCAATCAATCAATCAATCAATCATTTATTCGTCGTCACAAAAACATCAAATGCACAAAAAATTGGTACAATAAATAAATATAATAATAATGATATTTGTGCGACAGGAGTCGCGAGGGACCCTATTAGGTCTTCAAGCAGCGACACCTAAAGCGCTGTTACTGGTTCAGTGTAAAAAAATAACTACATTTGCTACAAACATTGACTATGCAATAGTCGTTATGATGAAAATATTTTGAATCATTGAAAAAAATTCGCAGCAAACGCAACTTTACTAAAATCATATAATAGAGAGAAAACAAGAAAAACAACTCAACTATAAATTTATAAAAAAGGCATATTTGAATAAATGTATATAAGTTACATAAAAGACAAACGACAAGCGAGGGGAAAATGGTTAGACCAAAGACAAAATTGTAAGTGACTAATTGAATAGAAGTTGGTAAGCTCTAATAAATCATAAAACGTTGATATGTATATATATATATATATATATATATATATATACAATATGCTCCACAGTAAGTGGGCATAAAATTTACGAAAGAATGGTAGGCATATGCTTGCTCAATAAATTAAAATATAACGAATTTTGGCATTTTAGTGTAGAGGTTGCACCAAGGTTGGTAAAGTTAAAGTACCGGGTACTTTAGAAATAGACTCCTTACACCTATAGTTCCTCCGGCTTTTTGGGCAGCCATGGCGACAGTCTACAAATGCGACTACTGGGCTATGGACAGAAGATGGCGAATCATACTGAACACTCCAATCAATGGCTGATGGAAGAGAGATAATAACTAATATATTTACTTTTTAGATATAATTTGAAACCGTAATAGCCTAAAGATTTAATGTTACTTGGTAAGGCATTCCACAGTTTCACACCCGTGTATTTTATGGATTTCTGCGTCCTGCTTGATGAATATCTTGGGACATAATATGAACTTGACGAAGCTGATCTAGTAGAGTATGAATGGATATTACTCTGCATTCTGAAAATTCCCGCGAATGCCATGGGAAGCTTGTTATCGAAGTACTGGTGCATGAGTTTCAGTATCTCAAATTCATGGATATGACCAAGCCTAATAATTCGACACCTGTGGTACAAAGGATCTAGTCTAGATCGGAAAGGTGCACTACATATGGCTCTAATTGCTTTGTTTTGCAAAACTTCTAATCTGTGGAGTAGAGTCGATGACGCACTACCCCAAGTTATAATGCCATACTGCAGATATGACTGGAAAAGAGAAAAATAAACCAATCGGAGAGCTGGCATGGTGAGGAATTTTCTTAGTTTAAATAATAAACCTGTTGTGCTTGACAACTTTCCAGCAATGTAATTAATGTGTGATGTCCATTTCAATTGGTCATCAATGTGGATACCTAGGTATTTGTATGAGTTGACATTTTCAAGTGGAACCTTGTCAATATTAATTTGAAGCCGAATTTTATTTTTTTCATTTATCCTGGGACTAATTAATAAGCATTTTGATTTTTCAATATTTATGGTGAGTTTATTTATGGTCATCCAGGTTGCAATTTTTTGCATTTCAGAATTCATCCGCAATTCCAAGTCGTTTGGCGAAGCTGAACTTCCAAACAAACCGGTATCGTCAGCGAAGAGTTTGACAAGTAATTTAGTGGCATGAGGAAGGTCATTGACAAATAGAATAAACATTATCGGTCCAATGATCGATCCTTGTGGAATTCCGCATTGTACAGTAGAGAGTTTGGAGCAATTCGAACCAAATTTAACACATTGCTGACGTGAACTCAAATAGCTCCTGAAAAAAGTCAACGCGTGACCGCGAATACCATAGTGGCTCATCTTTCTTATTAGAATGGTATGGTCGACAGTGTCGAACGCCTTTTTGAGGTCAAGGAAAATAGCACTAATGTATTCCTTTCTCTCTATCTTGTCATAAATATGAGTCACCATATCAAGCATTGCATGGTTAGTAGAATGCTTTTTTTGAAATCCAAACTGTGATTTGTTTATGATGCTATGTTGGTCTATAAATTGGATTAGCCTACTATGTATAATTTTTTCAAAAACTATAGTCATCGTAGAAAGAACCGATATTGGGCGATAATTCGATGCACATTCTTTATCTCCTGTCTTGTACACAGGTGAGACTTTGGCAATTTTTAAACAATTTGGGAATATACCATAGTCTATGGAAGCATTAAATAGTTTACACATCATGGGAGAAACTATATCAGCAGCATATTTTAAGAATTTTGCTGGTATGTTATCATAACCAACTGCTTTATCATCAGATAAGCTCGCTATAGTGGTATATATTTCATTAACAGTTGTCGGTCTAAGAAAAAGAGATTTTTTATAGGGTTCTTAAGATTACTCAAAAAAGATCCCTCAATGTGGGGGATTTTTTCAGAGAGATTCGGGCCTATAGAAGTGAAGTAATCATTAAAATAGTTGGCGATTAATAATGGATCATTTACCCTCGATCCATTATCAGTTATTATTGTTTTTATCGCAGTCACTGGCGTTCTCTCTTTTTTGATGTTAACTATTCGACCAATTAGGTCCCAAGTGGATCTAATATCACCACTGACCTGTTTAATTTTATTGAAGTAGTACATTTTTTTGGCCTTGTTTATGAGAACTGCCAGTAAATTGCTATAAGTTTTATACTTTCTATATTGCGTGTTAGTACCATTTTTGAAGTGAGTTTTATACATTTTATGTTTCCTTTTAACTGAAACACGAATTCCCTTGGTTATCCAAGGTTTGGCTAGAAGTCTAGTTTTATGCCGACTCAATGGTTTTATTGGTGCGTGAGCATCAATGCTCGATTTAATAATTGCTACAAATGAGTCAAATAAAATATTTAAATTATCACATGTAATTTGGCAATTTGATATTGGGAGGATAGATGATTCTATGTCAGATCTATACATATCAATAGAGAAATTTCTCATATCACGCCTGAAAATTTGATTTTGTCTTCTTGTAAATATTGGAGTAGAGACGGTGCAAAATTGTGAGTAATGGTCACTTATATGAGTTAAAATAACAAAGCTCGATAAATCATAGTTTATGGCGTTGGTGAAAATATTATCGATTAGTGTGCTGGAGGTGCGAGTCACTCTTGTTGGTTTTGTAATTAAGGGCAATGACAAATTGGCAAGATGCATATCTATATATTTCATAGTGGCCAAATCTGTCGATTGGCCCAATAAATCAATGTTCCAGTCTCCTAGCAAAATGAATAATCTTTTGTCCCGGTTCAACCTATCTAATACATTAGAAATGGTACTTGTAAATTGAATAATATCTTTTCTTGGGTGCTTATAAATTACTCCTATTATGAATGAAATATTGAGATTAATTTTCAAGTTTATCCATAAATCTTCACAGTCGGGGTGCTCTAGGTCATATTCATGGATTTGACAAAAAGAAAGGTCCCGACTAACATATAGGCCAACCCCTCCAGCAATTGTTATGGAAGGTTTATGAATGAAATCATAATTATTTAAGGATATATTTGAATTAGGGGTCACGCCAAGCCTTGTTTCAGAAATAGCAATGAGATGTGGGGGGGTAGCAAATTCAGACAATAAGTTAACAAGCTCGTCATAATTCTTTTGGAGAGATCTAGTGTTCAAGTGGAAAGCAATAAAACAGTTTTTTGACATGGACCTACTAATAATATTCAAATCTGACACTTCTATGTTTTGGCATCGACATCTACTCAGTTCATTAAGCACTTTAAAATTATTAGCAAAAGCACCATGAAACTTTTGATACGATCGAGTTTCCTTTAGACATGCTTGGCAAAAATAAGGCTGAGCTAGTGGTGCATCTGAGGGTGCGAAAATAAGAGCACATTCGAGGTGTAATTGTTTGCCACATATTTCACAATTTAATTTTGTTTGGCCTAATATTATTGATCTGTTACATAAGTAACATGTTAAAAAATCACTACTAGTCATTTTAGAATAAATAAGAAATTACACTCACATAAATAGTTATTTGATTTGAGAAAGATCTTCTTCACATCTAATATATAGAGAATTTTTGACATCACTGTTCTTTTTCACAAATACCTTTCCATTTGAAGTCCAAATATATCTGTATCCGCAATTATTTTTTGCTGATCTAGCTCTGAAGTATAGGTCTTTATTTATGGCAGTTAGATTTTCAGCGATGAATATTTTTGATGGATGTTTGAAGTCGGTGCTCGATTTTACTGAACGCAAGAGTTTCCTTTTTTCAAAAATCTTGATTTTGTTTTTGCGATGGACAAATTTGGCAATAATAGCAGGGGTTCTAGTTTTTTCTATCCCTGTTGGCATTCTATGTGATGTCGAGATATCGCTAGCTTGGATTTCAACACCAACCATCTTTGCGATGTTGCAGACTATTTGGTCAGTGTTCTCATTTTCAGAAATAGGGACACCATGGAACTCCAGGTTCTCTAGCCGCCCTCGTCTTTCTTGGTCTTCTACTTTTTCGGATACATAAAATAAATCTTCTTCTAGATCATGTATTCGATCAAGGAGACTTTCAATAGTTTTCTTATTATCAGATGCTTGCTTTTCCAAAAATTTATTCTTTTTCGCAAGATCATCATACAATCTAGTATGAAACGCTTGACTTTCTTTTATTTCAGTCAATTCAGATCTAATATCTCGCATAGATTGATTTAAGTCATTGAGTATTTCCCCAATGTTTGGTGTTAACGGGGTCAAAATGTCTGAGTTGTCTGATAGGTCGTAGTTGTCAGTAAGACACTGGCCTATCATGGCAGGGAGTTGCAGGGTTATGCCATTTATTATGTTCCTCGTTATTAGAGGAAGGATTCCGCTAACTAACTCACTGTGCTGCGACAAGTCAGACGTGGTTGAAACGTTGAGTAGCTCCATTGCTTCCGTTTCTCCAGCTTGTAGTTTTTCCTCATTGGTAGTACTTTTTGTTGTCTTTATAAACACCTTTTTGATCTTGGAAGGTGTTTTTTCTCTCGGAGGTGGTCTTGGAGGATTCATGTTAGATTAGTTTTATTTTAAATTACACTAAACCTTGGATCTTAATCAAATAGCGAATAAAGATTCAAAGAATAAAGATTCCTTTTGCAACCCACCAGTGAGTCGTGACCCATAGTTTGGGAACGGCTGTACTAAAAGATTCTGGTCTTCCCATGTCTCCTACCTAACTGAGACTGCATGTAAAAAACCTTGCATGGAGTGGAAGACTTACAGTAAAAACAAAACTAATTGAATCTCACCGCAATTTTTTTCGTCACTTCCATCATTACAATCATTCTCTTCATCACATATGTATTCTTTATCGATGCACGATCCCGAAGTCTCACATTTGAATTCAGATTCTGTGCATTTGAAATCTATAAAAACAAGAGGCATATTCACAGCGTGGTGAACGACACATCGTGATAAGCAGTAGGAATGCGCTTGTATTCTGATTACTCTCTGTGGGTTTGTAGATTCGATTCCAGTGTGGATATTTAATTATGTGATACCCGCAATGCCACACTAGTTTTACCCACAATGCAAAAGTGGTTTTACCCACAATGCAACACAGTGAATTCACCTACAATGATACACTGTAGTTTTGCCCACAATACAACATGGTGGTTTTATGCAACACTGTGGTTTTGCCCACAATGCAACACAGCGTTTTTTCACCCACAATGCCACACAGAGATCTTACCCACAATGCAACACAGTGGTTTTGCCCACAATGCCACACAGTGGTCTTACCCACAATGCAACACAGTGGTTTTACCCACAATGCAACACAGTGGTTTTACCCACAATGCAACACAGTGGTTTTACCCACAATGCAACACTGTGGTTTTACCCACAATGCAACACCGTGGTTTCACCAACAATGCAACATAGTGGGTAAAGCCACAGTGTTGAATTGAGGGCGAACCCACTCAATGCAACACTGTGGTTTTACCCACAATGCAACATTGTGATTTACCCACAATGCAACACCGTGTTTTTACCCACAATGCAACATTGCGATTCACCCACAATGCAACACAGTGGTTTCGCCCACAATGCAACAACGGTGATTTTACCAGCAATGCCACACAGTGGTCTTACCCACAATGCCACACAGTGGTCTTACCCACAATGCAACATTGCGATTCACCCACAATACAACACAGTGTTTTTACCCACAATGCAACATTGCGATTCACCCACAATACAACACAGTGTTTTTACCCACAATGCAACATTGCGATTCACCCACAATGAAACACAGTGATTTTACCCACAATGCAACATTGCGATTCACCCACAATACAACACAGTGTTTTTACCCACAATGCAACATTGCGATTCACCCACAATACAACACAGTGTTTTTACCCACAATGCAACATTGCGATTCACCCACAATGAAACACAGTGATTTTACTCCCAATGCCGCACAGCGGTTTCACAATCTGCAAGTAGGGAACACAGAACTATAGAGAAACTGCCCAAATACTTGTATGTATGTATGTTTATTAGTCTCGTAGTAGTAAGCAATATAAAAAATTGACAATTTTAATATTGGAGACGGGACGCATGCACAAGACCGTACTGGCCTAAAACACAAATGTGCGACATGCACCCCTTTTGACAAGTACAGAACAAAAAATGTTAGATTAAATGCATATGATATGGTCTCTTATACAGACAATTGTGTAAGATGGGGCAATGGGTTGGTGTGGCGAAAGTGGCAAGGGAGGAGTACACAGAACTGTTTATACAAGTTGCATAGGATAGGATTTACATATTTATCCTGGGGGAGAGTAATGGCATAAGGCACCATAATCATATGTGGGGCTGGGCATTTCGAATCGAATCGTAAATTTGTCTAATCGGTTCAGTGCAAAAGCGGCGCTATCTTGTTTTTTTTCTTTCCGCCAATAGTCGAGGTAAATTCCTCAATTTTTTTTGCTGAAGCTATATTTTTTTAAAGCAATTCTGACATTTTCTGTAGTGAGTTATTGATAAAATGTGTTTCCTATTGTGTGTGAACGCTCAGCAATCTGTCTGAGTGATGTATTCTATGTTTTCAGTAATTCATTTGTTGACAGGACCAATTACAATAAAAAAGTCTTATACAATTAAATATATCCCAAGTATTCGAGATTTGATTGGATTCTGAAATCATCAGATATTCGAAAATGTCCAGCCCTAATCATATGGTGTAGCACGACTCTCGTCTCTTAACCCGTTAATGTCAGGTATTGGAATATTTTATCATCGTTTTAGATGCACGGCCTTGATGGTAACAATCATACCCAGTCTATGTTCACCTAACGATTATAGAATTTCTTAACCCTTTCCGTGCGGTGGGCACGTATACGTACCAACGACAAAAGTCGCTAGATTGTACTCCACTGTTTTATTTAGCAATCGGTCGCAAACTGTTGGTCTAGTTTTTCCGGGTTATAGTTTATTGATAAGAAGTCTTTTTCGAGATTAACATAAGCGACGGTAAATCTCGCTTTCGTTTACGACGGGAATTGTATTTGCGGCGGAACGAGGGAGTGTTTTTGAAATTTATGCAAATTTCGGTGTTTTTTGGGTGGTAATAGAAGACATATTATCCCTTCCATCTATCAAAGTATTTTGAGTTAGATCACGAAATTGCTACAGCAATATTATGCTATTGTTTGCCAACCACAAAGCGGTAACAGTAAACGATTTAGCAAATTTTTCTATTTTTCATCACGGTTTGAAGTTTCAACTCCCAAGAAAAAAAAATGCCTTTTTTCTATCCGGTTTGTGACTCAGACCACCACTTTTAAAAAAACTTTTTTTTTTAATCGCCAATTGCAAGCTCTTCAAATAAGCTTTCAGACGAGCCGTCAGTGGGCAGCAAAGGATCATTAGTTTTTCGTAAGTCAATCGATTAGTTGAGGGGGTACAAAAGCATAAAATCGGCGTAGCAAATACGATTATTTAATAAAAAATAAAAATCACATGGAAAGGGTTAAACACTCACCACATATTTCATCTGATCCATCGCTGCAATCCTGATCCAAATCACATCTATAGCTCCAAGGTATGCATTCCCCATTGTCACATTGGAAGAACTCAACTGAGCAGTTTGCAACAGCTGAATAATGAAACAGATATATTATTCATTTCGGGGAGTAAGGAAAGCTGAGATAGACAGCCTTATCATATGGCTAATCTATCACAGCTTTGCGGAGAATAAATTTGGATTACAGCAATTAACTAAAACTCCTCGGTGGACAAAATGATCATTGAGTTAATAAATTCAAACAGAAATTTTGGAAACGCCACAAAAAAAACTCCGAAACAGATAGAGAAATCATAAAAACAAGCTAATATTTACAAGCAAGCTTAAAAATTTGTTTAGTGGCCTATAAGATTTCAATCCTATTTCACTTTGCTGACAACTTCCTGATTGGCCAATTTTTACGGAAGTAAACAAGGAAGTCTCAGAGAAACATGCATACTGGTTAAAGAGAGACTTCATTAAAACAATATAAAGACTCACGTCCTTTTGTCAGAGAACAATTCTTCTCGTCGCTGTTATCGCCACAATCGTTATCATGATCGCAGATGAAATCCTGTCGAACACATTTAGTCGTGTTTTCGCACGAGAACTCTGTTGTCTTGCAGTTTTGTTTATACTTGGCTAGGAAGGGGAAGAAGGAAAAAATGAAATTATTTCAATTGTTTCAGTGTTTCTCTGCAAGAAATTTTGCACCCAAAAGCATTTTGCAGTAAAACAAGTATTTGTGATAAAAAGTTAAGTTTATATGTTTAGGATATGACCTTAAATAACAAATCATTTTTAAATAAAAAGCTACTTCAAAAACCTAACAGTTTTTATCACAAATACTTGTTTTACAGCAAACTGCTCTTGCGGTGATTTTTCCTATTAGGCGAAATTTTCTGCAGCCAACTTTTTCTAGAACCCGTGGGCACAGTGGCTTAATGGTTGGAGCGTTAGAATTAACTATGATGTTGCGGCAGGTTGAAATATCTGGTCTGAATCAAATTGTGTATAAGTATTAAAATCAAATAAGTATTATTTAAAAAGAGTTACTTTGCCGATTTTAATAAGTTAGGGACCCTAGCTTTGTTTTTAACGTAACTCATTTCAAATTGCATAGATACTCGAAAATAAGGTCCTCGGTTAATATTGCAAATTAAAGAGGAGCCTTTCAGTTAAAGGAGTTTTGTTCAACTTTAAACCTTTGTTTAAAACAAGCGAATTCATCGGTCACGAAAGGACACCTGCTAAGCACACCCGTCGCGATCAAAACTTTTGTGCAATCAACTACCCACGTCAGTAGCGAAGTGTACTCCTTCGCGTGAACAGAAAAGCCTCGCACACTTGTGTTATTCCTTCCTTTAAACGGACAACAATTATTACATGCAGGTTGGAATCGATATTAGTTACTACCGGCCATAGCTAGGGAGGGGGCTAAGTCATTTGTACAATGCCCGGGCAAAATGACATTCCCGTCACCGATATCGTTTAGTATAACACACTTCCTCTTCCGAAAGAATATGCTTGAAAGTAGTCAGACTTTTTTTTCTTTTAAGAGATGGGTTGACGTCATGTTTCTCCGGCCACTTTTTTCTTTAAAAGATTACGCAAGATCACTTTGAAAATCCCCCCCTTTTTTGTGATAGCTTGACCTAATTTATATTATGCTATCTCAGAGATTACGCAAAGACATGTTATTTCAAATATCGACTTGTAGTGGTTTTGCATGCGAGTTGGTTTAAATCGGGTAGAAAACATCATATATTGGCAAATTTTTTAGAAATGCCATGTACTTTCAGAATTTATAAATAGAACTGTCAGACCTGGTATGAAATATAAAGTGGTTCCCAAATAATTTTGAGTGTGTCGCGAAATACCAATCCATTTGATAAATCTTTTTTTATTCGACCGCATGAACGCTGAAATCGTGGAAATTATGTGTTACAATTTCAATAAAATTCGTTTTTTGTGCACCATGTATTTTTATTAGTAATTGCGTCCCGAGTTTGTAAAGTTTAGAAACCTCTTGTATATGTATATATTCCACTATTTTTGATTGGCCAAAAAAAGATAACACATAATCGCTTCTCGGCAACATGGTATTCGTTTTATATCTGCTTTGAACAGAAAAAAGAATATGTGCCCTCTCATTCATTGGATCACAATCGACAATTTATATTTATTTTTTTTTGTGATTTCGGCAATCGTTATTAGTGTGTATCGTTCTGTTATTTATATATTTCAGGCCATTGAGGCCAAATTAGCGGCGTTATTAGCGCTAAATAACAGAAAATAACTTATCATAAAACACAAGTCTGTAAAGGTGATGCCATAGCGAACAAAAAAGATTTGGTCGCGATAGTTATGTTAGATTACTGTAAAACGACGCTTTTAAGCAGAAGGTAGAACAATCAAATTTGATAACAAAACAAAACGACGGCTTCGATACCCGCAACACTTCAAGTTCATTAGACTTCCATTTTGGTAAGTAAGGTTACTCGATTACACGATACCAGGGGGTGGCCAAGCTGCTTTCGAAGGCGATCGACTAAAATCTTCAAAATAGATCACGGTCGACTGGTAGTGGTCGGTAATAAGGTCCTACACAAAAACGAATTGGCACTGAATGTGCAGATAACTGTACAAACGCATACAAAATTTCCACCGCTGCCAATAAGAAGGCTTTGTGGGCACATTATTATCAAAATCGACAAAAAATTTGCATTTTCTATGTTTTATTTAAGTTGTTGATTTGATCATTTAATTGTACCCGGAGTAAATGTTTCATTATTTATTTAACATTTATTTAAATCATACTATTCAGATAAAAGGCGTGTCTAATTTTCAGTCGTAAGTGTTAGAAATTCTTCAAGAAACCTTGCCAAGTATTATCCAAACAGCGAAAAATAAGTATTCTCAAACCATGAATGTTACATGACTGCTCAAACTTCAGTATCTAAAATATCGCAAAAATCCGGGAAATGCCGCGTGCTTTTAACATTCGTGGTTACAATAAAATAGCAGTTAATACGACCTATGTATCTTGGGTGACAGCACATTTGAACCCATACATTTGCACACGTATATCCGCGGGTTCAATCTATATGTGGGTGCTAAAATCCATGGGTAATGTTAGTATGGGTTCAAATGTCCGTAGGTGCAAGAGTATGCAGGTGCAATTGTCGTAGGTTCAAATGTAATGGAATCGTATTTTGTGAATTTGGTGATTTTGCAAAACTGTGAAATGCTGTTGAAAGTTTTGTCTAATTAGAAAATCGTGCACCCTGGTCACAATTCATCGATGTCATTGATAGTCACATGACCACTCTCGTTCAAAGAAACGCACTGCTTAGTATTCCAACGTGTGGCTTCAAAGACGCCGTTGAGCGTTTTTGTGGGAGAAGAGGAATCAGCGTGCTTGTATAATAATCATACTATAAACAAGAATTTTGTCGTTAATGCAAAAGCTTTATCTCCAATGTCTGCACCATATAGGTTAGAATTCACGCAAATATCGTTATGTAATGCAAAATTGGGTTACAAAAGTACTAGTACGCAACTTATTTGTCAACTTCATACTCGCAAGAAAATATTTGTCAACTTTAAATTTTTGCCTTTCAAAATCGAAAAAAAGTGCTATTTCGCAGTGCCTGAAAAAAAGTGCAAAGTGCTTCTCACTTTCCGCAAAAAAGTGCGCTAATAGTGAACACTGCTCACAGCAGGTATGCCTCGTGTCTTCATCCGAAATATCGATTGTTCCGTTCCTATGTACGCAGTCAAACTCAGTATCACACAGTTTCGATGAATGAATACACTGGCCGGTACCTCTACATTTGAATTGATCATCGTCACAAGCTGAAATTGGAAGAGTAAAGTTGGCATGTTTGGCAGGGGGGGGGGGGGGGGGGGGGGGGGGCTCTTATATGGTAGCTACCTCAAGATGAGGTGATTGATTTATGACCCTTTGATTTTGCCGATTCAGAAAAAATGACACTAGACTGGAGAACACAGCATCAACTAACCCATAGACGTACAGCAGTACTTTTCACACCATATTCCCAGGCTATTTCAAGGTTTCAGTTAATTTGTTGTTCAAATAGGAAAGTTATAGGTAAAAAGTTGATTCTGTGAGTATGATTCTACATGTAACAAGTACGCCCCGATTCTAACTATATGAAATTATGAGCGAATATTAGCGCTCAGTTGGTGACGACTAGGGCAGGGCATTTTTTAATACCTTCAAATTGAATTAAATACTTTTTTTGAATCAAATCTTGAATACTTGGAATATATGTAGGCCTAATTGTATGTGCCTTTGATATTGTAATGGATCACAGGAGCAATTTCTACAAGGTGCGCCGCGGAAGAGGTGATAGGTGCCCCACATAGGAGTTGATAAGTGCGCTGGGAAAATTAACAGAATTGTGTTAAACACCACTTAAGGTATGATTGAATATTTTACATATTGTATTTATTATAAATGGTTCAATTTACCTTTCTATGTCGTTTGCTTTCTGTTACGCAACAGCAAGAAAAGAGCTCATACAAGGTTTTGTTCGAAAAGAACGACATATATAAGTGGCGAATAAAATAAAGAAAAGCTACTCACGGCAAGGTTTCTCATCTGAACCGTCGCCACACTGATCCACTCCGTCACAGAAGTAATGCTGCGGAACACATTTCTGGTTCCTACACATGACGTAACCATCTCTGAAAGAGAATAGAATGATAAAAATATCAATGGGACATTTTAAATGAAAAAAGGGCATTCCAGAAGTATGTATAACCAATTTTGATCGCCTACTTTACATCAAGTTGTGTAAAGGGACTAAAATCGATGGGCAGGGGGTATATTCACTTGGCTAACACAAACAGTCCCCGAAACTCTTAATAGAACTAGAATAAGGAAAATCAGGATAAAACAATGACCTAACCCTAACCTGGTACACATACTACGGGAGTACCGAAGAAAGATAAGTCGATGCAACATGACCCATCTCCAAAAGTAGATTTTGATAGATTGGATAATGTTAAAGGCAATATGTTGGGTGGGTAACGCCTAACGGTATAAAGATTTTATTTACTTGAATTTTGTTCTTTGATTCCGGGAAATTAAAAATTTTGATTTCAGTTTGAAATTTGAACATCGGCTCTAACTTCACATCAATGGATGCTCCCAAAGTATGTGCACCAAGATGGCGCACAACCTGAACAAAGTATGTGTACCAGGTCAAGGTTCAGGTTGTGCGCCATCTTGGTGCACATACTTCCGGAGTGCCCATCAATGACTATAACATCAGTGACACTAGCAACAGAGTCTAGCAATCCTCTTATACAAAAGTAATCTTTGCAAAATAAGGCAGGAACTTGGAGCTCACGAAGTATGTGTACCAAGAAGGCAGAAAACCTGAACATAGTATGTGTACTAGGTTAGGTTCAGGTTGTGCGCCAACTTGGTACACATACTATGGAAGCGCCAAAAACTTAGTATAAACAAAAACAGAACATACATGCATCGTCTGACGTTACAATATCTTGGTTCCTCATCAGCTCCATTTGAGCAGTCTTCGGTTCCGTCACAAGTCAGTTCGTACGGGATGCAACGTAGCGTTACCCTTCTGTCCCTTCTGTCTTCAAATTTAGAAAGTCCGTCCCCGCAGTCAAACTCCTCCCGGCCCTGGCAGCCACTCACATGTATAATTTCTGAATAGAACGGAATTTAAAGAAATTATAATCAGGATACTACATGACTTTCTACTAGTTGTTCTCATGGTTTTGATCTGAAGTGGGCTATAAACTTGCTGCCACTGCAGGGCATAGAGCCAAGGGGGTTTGAAGGTCACCCCTCCCCTTTTGAATAAACATTTTTAGGTATTATACAATTTTTGGTAGCTTGAATCGCTTTCTAGATCGCCAAGGCTCCTAAAAAAAAACATTTTCCGGTCGTGCCTGCTGGCTGTTGTAATCTAACTTGGCAAACAGAAATTTCGGCCCCCCCCCCTCGTTGAAAATTTCTGTGTACCCCTCTGGATCAGGATACTGCATGACTTTCTATTACTTGTTCTCATGCTTTTGTTCAAAAGAGGGCTATGAGCAAGCAGCCCCTGCAGGGCCGTAGCCAGGAGGGAAATTTACACCCCCCTGCCCTTCAAAAATTCCTGGCGACGCACCTGGTTGTTTCCATGGTTTTGAACTGAAGAGGGTTATAAACAAGCAAATGATAACCTAAGGAAATGGATGATTTCTGTGTAATCAAATAAAACTAAATTATTTCTAATAAGGATAGTGTAGGTGTTTTTATGAGATGTTTCTATGTACTTACTCTAAGCAAGTCTTTGGATAAGCAGATATGATATGTAATGAGATGCAGTTTTGTAAGACTAAAAATTTTAGGGTTATACATTGTCTTTTCAATTTATAGCATTTATGGGTCAGGTGAAGGAAGCTGTAACCAACAGCGATCTCCTGGAGTAGAGCAAGTCCAAGTCGGGTATGCAATTAATTAACCAGCTATTTGGTTTAGATGCATGGACTTGATGATGGAGGAAGCTGTAACCGGCGAGTAGTAATGTGGACCAAATAATGTTGGAAGAGAGGAAAGCCAATAAGCTGGACCAGTCATATGACCATCGTCCTGTTATCAGTCCATGTCGGGTATGGGAATAATTAGAATGTTATTTGTTTCAGATGCACGGGCTTGATAAATGAATGTAACGGATCATATTGTTCAGTTCTCACACTTACTTTCATATAATCTCTTACTTCTTAGTCAATTGTAAAGTTCCAAATACATGACATTTTGCTCAGAGACTTGTTAAGAGAATACTTACCAATGCATGATCCATTGATAGCCAGTTCACCATCTTCGCATACACAATCATATTGGTCATTGAATTTACGATAGCATGATTGTCCTTCACCACATGGGTTGGGGACACATGGACCTGCACTGCCTGCAATAATAAAAATAATATACATATATTCAATGACATTCTTATGCCAAAAATCCTCTAATTTGTGGAAATAGTTTCTGCTGAACGATTTCCCTGGCAGTCGTTCAATTTTTGTGTTAATTTTTTTTAAGGATAAGCAAAATTATTCACAACCTCTGAAGTGCCATAAGCTACTTAGACCAGGTGATGGCAATTTTTTCCCAAGTGGGCCAGTTATAAATATTAGACTTGTTACTTATCGATTTTAATCGGTAAGTATGTTGATAGGTATTTGTCTGTATGTTTGTATGTTAGATGCACGCCATATCTCACAAAAGCGAAATTGAATCTGCTCCAGGTTTTGCATGTGCATTCATCTTATCTCGGACCAGAAACCTATTGATTTTGGGCGAATTATGTCGTATAATTAGCGAGTTATCAATCAATTATTGATATAGTGATCTAGATTTTTGTAAAGCGAGAGAATTTTGAGACCCGCCGAATGTGTGTGTTTGATGCGCAGTGCGCAAGTTACAAGAGCGGATGAATCGAAACTGCAGTTTCTGTTTTGGGGGATCCCCTAACTATCGATCGATAAGTCTTCGGTTTCCAACCGATATTCTCGTTTACAATTTGTTATGTGTAAGCCCTGTACGTCAAGAGGGTGCTGCAAAGAGGGCAGCAAAAACCGTTATAACAGGTTAAATCAACACTGATTGATCCTGCTCTTGACTTTTACGAGAATATAACATTGAATAATGACTTTTTGAAGAAGGTGTTATCTACAGAAAAGTATGATTGGGTAAATATTTAAATTCTCAATGCTTCAAAATGACAGGCTATTTTATTGTTCTTCCTTTTGTTGTACAAAAAAAAATCTAAATTCGAATTATTTTGTATCTTTATCGTCAATTCCTTTCTATTTTTCGAACTGAAACCGATATTTAGACAGAGAATATGCGAATGAATTCTCGATAACAATATGGTCAATGAAGACAGCCGGGGTGGCTTTAAATGTAGGCCTAAAGTGACAAGAGCTACTCAAACTGTGAAGATTCACACATCATTAGATAGCAGTTTACATGAGACCTAATGGGTTTTGCAACAAACGCTGATAAACACATGTGAATGTCACTGCTTCCGTGAACGTGAAAAGTCAAGAGCAAAGAATCATGTTATGCACAGATATAACAATTATAAAAAACCATTGGGGAATGGGAAAACATTTAAACATGCATATTACAGTTAAATTATTTTAATAAAACAACTAAATGACTAATTACTTACAGGAATCATTGAAAACAGCCAGAATTCCCATTAACTTTGAGTCTGAATTATTTCTCAATATTTCAAACTGGTTTCCTGTGAATCTATGAACTCTGAGGACTTGACTGCGAGACCACTCCGTCCAGTACAGGAATTCACCGACGACTGTCAGACTGAAAGCGTGTCTGACATCTCCTCGAAGAATAACCTGAAAATTGGAATTTATTTTAAATTTCATATTTGAAATGACCAGTTCACTTTGAATGACAAAGTTTACTCTTTTTAGATAATTCAAATTTGTGAGTAAAATTATTCGTGACGACCGAATGCTGGGACTAGACATCTTTATGGTACTGTACGACAAGCTAATAAATGATGATTAGCAATCTCATATGGTCAGGTGGACAAGGCAGTAAATCCCACATTATTGAAGGTCTAATAGAGAGTAGAGAGCATTGATAGGCGGATACCCAAACTAGACAACATCATAGTACTGTACTATGTGTCAATAAATGATGATTAGCAGGTTTAACAGTCACAAGGCAGTAAATCACACACATTCGAAATTCTAAAGTTCGAGTTGATTGGAGATGCGGGCAGATGACAAATCTGATTTGACCAGAACTTAATTGTTGATTAAAATTGATCGTTTAACTGAAATTTAACTGAAAACAGCACTGGTCCCAGACTAATTTGTCATATCTAATACAACAGAATTCTTTTTATACAAGTATAAAAAATTGAAGCAAGCAGATATATAAAATAATGTTTAAAGTAATACCGGTGGCCAAAGAACAAAACAAGGCCATAACCTGGCCCATCGAGGCCTTGTCCCCACTCATTAAATCCTAATTTGACATTTAATGTTTAAAAAAGCACACACATGGGTGAACATGGCCCATGTCTTATTGCTACCGTCACAGCATAAATCTTTCGGTTTGTCCGGTGTCTTTACTGTAAGGCTGAGTGATATCTTTTCATTAAGAAAATTTTTTAATTTATTATCTACATGGAAAAACTAATTTTTTTTGTGTGGTTATTGTAAGTTGGTTATACGACTCATCAACAAAAAAAGTTGCACATCCCTGGATAAAGCTTTCTCATCAGTTTTCCTCTCCCTCAAGGTGAATATAATAAAATGCTATCATATAAATTAATACGGTAAGAAAAAGTAGAAGCCCACCGTTCTATTAGTGCCAGTGAAATCACAACTTTCAATTTTATCCAACTTAGCATCGGCCCAGTATAATAACTTCGAGTTCACGTCAATAGCAAGGCCGTTAGGAATCGCGATATCAGTGGATATGATCATTCGAACTCCCGATCCATCAGTGAGAGCGCTGTAGATTCCTGGTGATTTCTTGTTCCAATTTGTCCAGAATATAAGGTTGGGGCTAAAAGATAAATTGAAACGATATTCATATGAAAGAAACTTTGTTTCGAAAGAAATCAAAATCATATTTCAACCTGCAAAACAAACATTGTTATATCGAACTGCTTGGCCATCGCGTTGCCCATATTACCGTATATACTCACAGATATGCTATTGCTACCGTATATGCTCGTTTTACCACCCGATCTTGATTAAGGGCCCGTTTGAATAGCCGCCCGTGTGAACAGGAGATAAAATCAAATGAGGGCCGGTGCTTGAATACCCGCCCGATGTGAAAGCTGATTTTTCAGTGGTAGAGAACAATAGGAAATAAGAAGCGCTTTTGTCACAACGCTGTTGAATTTTAAGCGCCTGTAGATAACACTCACGCCTTAGTCGTCCAAGTACATAACAGATAGCATCGATTACGTAACACCATGGTTCTCAAACTGGGCGTCGCGACAAGCGCCCGTGCTTGAATAAGGGCCGGTTTGAATAAGGGCCCGGTTAGTGAGTTGGTTGAGAAAAATATGGGCCCGGGCTACAAAACGTCGCCAAACTAAGGGGCCGGCTTATACACACGTATAAGCATAACTCTGATTGCAATCGTTATCAACAATAATGATAATTATTATCATTTATTCTTTTCTGCAAGCATTTGCTGTGATAGGTACGTGTCACGAGGCTTCTATGCGAATTTTTATAAATTTACTGTATTAGAGGGTCAGCTTATACGTGAGGTTATGTATCCTACCCTTGCTCCAAACACGACTCTAAAAAAGGAGATACTCAGACACAAAAAAATCTTTATAAGATGGGTAGGTATCACACAATTGTCATGAACAAAAACTAGATAGCAGATGCTTGTATTTAGGAAGCTACTACCTTAGGACGATCACATGCCTAGGGGATTACAATATCTTCTTAAAACAATATATTCTTAATACAATATCTTCTTAAAACTTATGTATCAATATATACATGGAAGGACACTAATTTAACACAAAGTACTATAACTAGCATTAATCTAACTTATACGAGAGAATACATAGAATAAGAGAAGCTGCGAAGGGCTGCGGAATATTTTATCATATAGGAAGGGGTCGGAACCTAAAAGTTTGGGAAGTTTTGAACAAATTTGTTTAGAAAATTCTGCTATAAAATTGTTAAATGACCTGAAAATTCCATTTCATTTACCTGAAATCTCTTAAAATAAAATACATGAAGTTACTCCTAGAGGTAAAAGATTATCCTATTACTGTACAATAGTCAGAGGACACACGTTTTGTTAAAAATTTGTCGGACACAGAGAAATGAAAAAGAGCGTGTTACAAGACATGGAATTCATGGATTTAAAGGAGCATTGTGTCAACATTCTGATGTGTTTTCTTCCTATTGTTACACAACAATGGCTCCGTGGAAACAATATCACTAGACTGTTACAGAAACTTTTAATGACTGTGTAGTGTGGAAATATATTATAGCTAGGCACATGGCTAAGGAAATTCGATAAGTAATTTAGTTGTAGATGATCTCGAAAGGTTATTAAAAGCAATAAAAGGAGGGAAATAGCAAGAAATGTTTTAAATATCAATATAGGGAAGTAGAATTTAAAAATGTTACTACCTAGGGACTGTCTTTTTTTGAGTAGAAGTTTATCAAACATATGCTCATATGTACCAAACTTAGCTTGTTTATTAGGCTCAACACTGCGGCACTGCAGAAGTATGTGTACCAATATGGAGGTAACTATTTTGTTCGCCTACTTCACATCAAGTTGTGTGAAGGGACTGAAACCTATGGGCAGAGGGGATATTCACTTGGCTAACACAGACAGTCCCGGAACTCATAATAGAACTAAAATAAGGAAATCTGTATAAAATTATGACCTAACCCCTAAACCTGGTACACATACTACGGGAGTATCCATTATGCTAACTGTTATACATGTTCTTGCTAAGGCAATTATGACAGAGGATAATTGGACTGTTTATATAATTGCCCAAAGGCTCAAAGATATGTGTTTACATGGCATTCATAGTTAAATTAACATTTTTCTCTAAGAGTTTTCCAGCAAAAATTATTAACTAATAATTATGTCCTAATCATGTATGAACCTGACAAATCATGTTGTGTAAACCAGTTTCAAGCTTGTTCAGGATATAAATTTCCATGAATATTTCATAAGTAAACAAAAGGTGTCTCACAATAAAAGTATTGTTTGGATAAGGAGTGGAATATTGGTATAAGACCTCAGTAAATATGTAGTAACTATGGTGCCAGACTTTATGAAGTTGGTGATATGGTTCTGTGAATTATGAACTGAGAGATTAGGTGGATGATGAGGGATTTTTGTTTCAGACATAGTTTGAAAATTGCGAGAAAAATTGGATGTAGAAATTGAAATAATTAACGCGAAATTGTAATTCGTTTGAAATTTAAGACGTGGTTTAAGACAATGATGTGAAACTAGCAGACTGCCATTTTGTGTGACCCTCGCAACACTCGGATTTTTTCCATTAATGACACAGTTCAAAAAATCGCTCACATGGGTAAAAACACGAAATGTTTTTTGCTCTTGTCGCAGCGATGATATATCTTTTGCCAGGTGTCTTTACTACTGTAAGGATAGGTAATAGCCATAAAAATTGTTTGTGCAATGGATTAATGATGTTATATGACTCTGTTGAATGTTTTTTGTCTCGGTTTTGGAATAGAGTTCAATTACTGAAATCAGGGGCATATCCAGGAAGGAGAGGAATTCTTATATTTCAAATTGCAAAGTTAAATGCTGGAAAACGAGCATTTGCTATTGAGTGGTCTTGATTGTCTAAAAAACGTTTCAAGCTACAAAATAATTTCCATGCAAGATACAGAGAATGCTTTCCGACCAGCGAGCCTCCTCTTTCTCCTGGCTACTCCCCTGACTGAAAGGTCACCTATATGATTGTGGAACGAATCATTCAGTATTTCATGTATATTCTCGGAATCTTCGACTTACGACATTGTTCCGTTCTTGAGATAGCGGTGTAACCCGAATTTCAGTGTAAGTCAGAACATCATACTGTACAGTACATAAATTACTCTATACACATCGTACTGTATTGTAAAGTATGGTACAGTAATAAAACGTACAAATAATGCAAAAAAGTACTTTATTAAAAAAACAGAAAACAATTACATATCACATGAATAAAAGCAAATACTGTATAGAACAGTGTTATCTTTTATATTTTTATCGAGTGCGATCGTAACCTCGAAACAGCGTTTTGGAGTGCGCGTTCGTGACCTCAAAACAGTGTAAGTCGCAATCGCCGTAACCCGAGGACTCCCTGTATGTGTTCATTCATATTCTGTCATTAGTTTGTAGTTTCATTATTAGTGTTATAGTCTATGACTATTATTGTCCCGTGAAGAATACAAGGTCTTGATGAAATAGCAAATAATTTTCGACATTGTCCCTAAAATATACCTCATTACTTAACAATGACAGATTTTTAATAGCTAGCCCAGTCTAACATGTTACATTCTTTTAGTATAAAAATAAAATGACCAAAGGCTACGCTTAGTCTTCCCAGATCTGGAATCGAATTTAATAAATATTTTCCATTGCTTAATATTGACAGAAAACTTGAATAATTTTAGATATAACTAAACCATTCTAAAATATTACATAAACCTAAATAAAGAACGCAATGAGTGAGAGTGACAGACCCGAGTCTGGAAGTAGACGACCTTCAAGTATAGAGGTCAGAATACCTCAAGCTACCAGTCAAGTTACTGATAATGAAGTATTTGAGCCTGAGCCTAATCAATCAGCAGTCACTGTTGTAAATAATAATCAAGCAAAGGCTGACACTTCTGAGGAGAACAAGCCTAGCCCAGAGGAAGATGATAATCAGCAAGAGCCTCAACTGGAAGAAGTACCAGTAAATATTAATCGAGAGGCTACTCAAAATCAGCCACTGAATGGCAATAAAGAGCAACCAGAAAGCGCGGAAGAAAATATGGAAGATGACCAACAAAATTTACCAGAAAATAAAGAAAATGCTGACAAGCCAGAAACTTCAGAAAACGGCCAAAACCAAACACGACCTATTATCAAGGACAGTCAAGAAACAAGTCTTGCTTCTCCACCAACGCCGGAAATAGTACAAACTACAACAGATAATGATCAACAAAATCCAATTAATATAAACAATGACTTGGCGGCCCAACCTGTCAAATCTAATAATAATGAGGATAACACAGAGAATATTGAATCACCTGTTCAAAAACCCCAAGATGCCCCCGATATAAAAGAAACAACACCTAACGAGCCCCAACATGAAGAAACTGATCAAATCAAAGATGAAGACACCCAACAGCAGCAGGAGAATTCTTTGGGTCAAAACACACAAGAAAGCACAGGAATACTCACAGAAAATAAAACACAAAAACAGGAGTCATCAGTAGATGAGGCAACCAAGGTATTTTTAACAGAAATAAGTCTCTAAAAAGTAACTACTACGACGTTCAGAGATTTTGTGAAAAAAAACTGAGCACAATGAAAAAAAAAATTTATTTATTCATTGTAGAACTGATTAATTCTAAATTAGTTTGCTTCATAAGGAGACAGTAGAAATAAATTGAACTTTGCACTCATTATCATATCGATAAACTGAGTTGCTGTTTTTTCCCTTTCATTGCAATGGTTTGATTTTACAGGAAACAGAAGAAAACAAAAGCACAGTAGCTGGTAAGTGTATGTCTGCAGAAGATGATAGAAACACTGTGTCAGCAAAAGGAGAACAGAATGAAGAAAAAGTATGTGTTTCGATTTTTTGGCACAGAAATGTTCATATGAGTGTTCTGAAATAATGTTTTGCATTGAATTTTTAATACTCAGCTCAAATGTTTTTATGCACGAAACACAAAATCCTTTTTAACTTTTTCATCTAAATTTTATTTGAAGGGAATTTGCTTACTCGAGACTGTGGTTTAAGTAAACATTCAATTGAATTTTCACTCTCTATTCTTGAC